TGTCTCATTTGCTGTGCTTTATATTCATGCTCGAGTCCTTAGATCATTCATTACAGTGATCGAATCTAAAATTGGTCTCATTGCCGGAGCCTGATAGTTTCCTGAATTGACGAGTCTGGAAATTGCAGAGTACTCTCCTACCCAGACTTCTCACGGTACAAGGTAGGGATAGATTTAGATAGGTAATGAAAATCGTAAAACAATAAAAAGACCGCAGTTAGTCTTTTCCTTTGACTTCGCGCAAAATGTAGAATTAAAAAAATTACCAGTGCCAGAAGGGTATTGATTAAGATCAAATTAAAGAAGCATTTCTCCATTTTCTAGCAATAAATGAAGAAAACCTTGTTTGGTATCCACGGCAATTGTGGCAAGATTTTGAAAGTATTATCACAGTTTGTCAAGTTATCGTAGGAAAATATCACTGAAAAAAAGGAATATATCAAAAACCCTGCATAATCGAACTTTTCACTAATCAACTCGTGCTTTAATAACATGCCAGTAGAGCATGAAGTAGTGGATATTTGGTCGTAAACTGAGTTTTTAGAGCAAGGAAACTTGTAGAGTAAGATAAACTCAAACCAAAAGAGACTACAGCTATCCTGCCACCACAGTTTATTATTCACTAAGTGTTGTCCATGTTTCATTAATGAAATGACTAATCACATCCTTATCATCGAAAACAAAAAAACTTGATCTTCTTGCATTAAATGTTTGAGAAAAAGATAAATAAAAGCCTTTTAAAACGATGCTAACATGAAATCGAAAGGAACTAAAATGAGAAATCCGATCGGATTGGGGAAACGCCCAAAAACAATGAAATTATCTCTTGTCTATCTTATTTATAATTTTAACACAACGTCAGAAGTCATCAGCAAATAGTTCAAATTTGGCTCTAGCGATTTTGGAAATCAAAGGCAATGGAACTCTTGTAGCCCATCGTATAATTTGACCATCTTAACGAAGCTGTCTCCTTATCACAAAAAGAAGAATACCCAAACCATGTTCATGGCTATGATGCCATTGTGTTTTCACAGTGCGCTGTATTTTTTTTCTTTTCTCGCTAACGTCATACTCGCTTAGCCATAGATATATGGAAATATTAAACGTTATCTGAGGATACCTTGTCGGCCATACAAATGTTATTCCTAGCTTATTTGGAAATTAACAATATACTTTTTCGTTGGTTCAGAAATATTCACTTTTGCGATGCGGACGGTCATAGAATAAGCTTTCATTTTGATGTATATCAGTCTGAGAGAACACTGCATCGCATCGCTGTCACTCAACCTAAGGTAAAGGTGTGTCATATGTTCATTTCATAACTGACAATTTACAAATTAAAGAAAAGGAAAGTCTTTCAATAAATATTTCCATCAAAAGCCACCCGGTGTTTCTCTTTGCCTCTCCTTCCAGCGTTGTCAGGGCAACCTCAGTCCCGAAGGTCTCCCCTTCCCGCAGGCGGAGATCTGGCTCCAGTTCAATGATGACTGGGTTTGCCAACCCGATGACAATTCCAAAACAAAAGAGGTTAAATGTTTTTTGTATTAACACACACACTGAATAAGAAAGCGAACATCACAATAACGAGCACTACTTGAGCCTTTTTTTCACTATTGCTTAAGTAGTATTCATTACTGCGATGTTCATTTTGATACTCACTTTTTTAACAGCAGTTCACATATATGATTTTCATGTATTCACAGTCACACACACACACACACATGCACACACATATATTATTAAACTTTGGGCTGCATGTGTAGTATCGCTGAGTATTTTTACAAGTTGTGCCGTATTTTGACAAGCCCTAATGTTTATAAGAGTGAACAAATCACTCCGAACACGTGCGTGGAATGATTAATTATTATGGAAGGAATGAGATAGCAACCTTAGAAAACAACTCAGAAACCGTGGCCGTACCAAGAGGCCTCTAAGTTTAACAGGTCAATGTTAAAATCTCCAGAGACATGGAGTTTTTTCAGTAACAATTAGATTTTAAGAGCGCTTGTCTGTAAAAATCAGACAAATTCTAAATTTCGCGGCAAGGGTGAAAAATTCGATTTCTTTCTTATTTTAATATTAGATAGGCTAGACTATAACTAAAATCACTGGATACTTTTTTTGGCAAAATATATTTTTATTTCAGAGAAAATGCAAATAATAAAATTCCGTTAAAATCGTCATTTTTAGCAACAAATTATTGCACAAGTTTGAGGGCTTCGTGTTAACCTCATAAGACCTCACAAAATGATTTTTGTAAACACTGCGTTCCTCTTTGCGTGTAAAATAATTTAAATTCGAAAGCATACATTTCTCTTCAGTAAAAGTACTTTGTGAGTAAAGTTAATTTTCAGCATGTGCTAAAACTTCAAATGGATTAAGCTTTTGGCGGTAGAATTGCGAAAAGATGTTCTCAATATTACTGTAAAAATTTCTTTGGGCAAATGATTGAGAGCGATACAAAAACTTTTCATAGTCCGTTAAAATGCAGTTATTTGACCTTTCGCGGTCAACATTCCAGTCGCGAGTCACACACATATTTTAATGTTTCAACCCATATGAGGCCGGAAAATGTACATGGGTACACATTTCCAAATGCTCTAACCTCATTTGCCGTAGAAGAAACATCCAAAGACCATTTTACTGTGGTTACCTAGTCGCTCGTCGTATTTATAACGTCCGATGAAACTGCCTGTCAATCTGCGAACTGTCACCAACCTTCGTTGTGAAACGTTTGACATCCTTCTGCACTGTGGCATCTTATCCAGCGGTTCAGTTCACTGTGAGTGTTGTTCGGTTTGTAGTGCAGTAGGTCTGATCGATGCTTTTAAAAGTGGCACTACACATGTTGCAGTCAACGTAGTGTTGTATACGGAGAGTCGTCACGCAATGCAAATCATACAATGGAAAGTTATTTTTTAGGGGGTAGGGGAAGGGAAGAGTAAAAAGACGTCACTCTGCTGCTCAGATTTTTTGTTCTTGTGAACATCGAAATCTCTTACATGTAAGTCTCGGAGATAGGGCCTTTGGCTAATACTCATTAAAAAGCTAAATTTAGTACCTGCTAAAATTAGTAAGCCTAAGTAAACAAAACCTGGTAAATGGTAATTACACGATGCCTATTGTTTGCTTACATGCGGGGCTTCGGACTTTGTTTTTCATGAATACACTAGCTTACACGGTCAACTTTGTTACATAAAAAATGGAAGGTTGTTGTTCGTTCAAGTCGCTTATCGGTGGAGTTTGTTGTTACAACACTAGAGATCGAAAGCGTGAAACGGAAATTGTTCCTTTACTTTCATGCACCTAGAATATCGCAAGTCATAAGTCGGCTTTCAAATTTACCGGTCCTGAAGATGAGATCGACCTAATTTTGTGCCGAGCGCTCATATGTCGGCCCCTCTGTAGTTTAAGGTTTTAAACGGTAGTTGGGTTTGTCAACAGTGGTTAATAGTACCACTCCCTTTTGCAAGCCCCACCCATTGGCCACCGAACATAGCATCTCTGCCTCACATAAGCCACACATCCCCACCACTGCGTTTTGTAGCATGGTGCAGTTAAAATAATAAAAGGTTCTCTTTCATGCTATTCGGGGTATTCCTTGCAATTTTAGTGGAAAAGAAAAACACCCCTAACGAGTAGGAAAAGTACAGAGCGTCAATAAAACAAGAAAAACAAATGTTTGTCATCAAACAAAGATGACACTGTTATAAAAATGGTTACAGAATAAAATTGCATTGTGAACTGAGCAATACTCGCAGTCAACTGAACCGTTGAATAAGATGCCACAGTGAAGAAAGATATCGAACGGTTGACAACAAGATGGTGTTCAACAGGGTTGGTGGTTTCATCGGACGTTATCATTTATACAGACCTAAATACGACGAACGACAAGAGAATCAGACTAAAATGGTCTCTGGATCGGTTTTCTGCGGTAAATGAGGTTAGAGCATTTGGAAATATTTTTCTATGTATATTTTTCGGCCTCATATTGGTTGAAACATATTAAAATATGTGTGACTCGCGACTGGAACTAGGTCAAATAACTGCATTTTAAAATTAATTTTATTCACGAAGTATTTTTACTGGAGAGAAATGTATGCTTTCGAAATTAAATTATTTTAAGCACAGAGAAGAGCGCAATGTTTACAAAAATCATTTTCTGAGGTCTTATGGGAACGAAAAAGATGATTTGAGTGTTTAAAAGACGAGATAGTGATTCGTTTTTGCACGCGAAACCCTCAAACTCGTGCAATAATTTGCTGCTAAAAATGACGATCTCAACGGAATTTCGTTATTTGTATTTTTTTCTGAAATAAAAAGATATTTCGCCAAAAAAAGTATCCAGTGATTTTAGTTATAGCCTAGCCTATCTAACATTAAAATAAGAAAGAAATCGAATTTTCCACCCTTGCCGCGATATGTTGGATTTTTACAGACAAGCGCTCTTAACGGTTTTTTCAAAATTGCTTTGAAAACGGTATGGAGAGTTTTGATGGCGACATATGACACCTCAAAAGAAATTTTAACCTGAAGAGCTTGAAAAGCCTCATTAGAGGTTCTCTCTAAACTATGTAATTAGCGTTTCGTCAAGAAACATTCCGACACCTTCAGAGGCAAGAGGTGTCGGAAGGTATACAAATTCATAGCCTGGTATCGGACAGCAATCGACGGGATTTGAATTGGTAATTTTGATTTCCGAGATTCCAATAATATTGAAGTGGAAATTTAGTTCATCAAAGGGTTGAATTTGAAGATTTTTCTAAATTTAGATGTATAAATTATTATTATGGAGAATTTATTTCGGATGAGAGTGAGCAGTTCGCCCACATGTTGCGATTTCAAATTATCCTGCGAAGTTGGTACGGGACCAAGGTAACTTGAATGATTTAAAAGAACTTTTCTATGTATTGAATCAAAAATGAATATTACGCAGCTAATCTCTAATTGACATATTTATAACCACAGTAAACACACCTTTTTGAATAAATTAGGCTCTAGAACATTCTTTTGGTCGGTAAATTAAGGCTTTGCATTAGCAAAATGATTATCGTGCGCCACTCTATATTTTTTAGCTTTATCCTGGTGCAGGTGTGCTTTGTGTGTAACACATTTGTGTTAGAAACAAGTGGAAAATTATCGGAGAGTGACATCAACAAGAGAAGCAGTTTAACATCAGGTAAATGTTAGGTTGAATATTTCAAATAGCCTCGTATCTACACGTGCAATTTTTAGTTATTTTTCGCAAAATTTTTCGGTAATAACAAACATACGTACAACTGAATGGGAAAAAAAGTTTGTCTTTGCGTTGTATACAATAAATGCAAACTATCCAAGGGCTGTGGGATAAAATTGATAACGAAGCAGTAGGCATTTACCATTAAGCAATTTGTCCTTTTTCATCGATGTCATTTTGTTTTTTACGCATCTGATGACGATTATTGTGAACAAAATCACAATAATTCAAGATTTCAAAGATGTCTGAATCGTCATTCTATGCCAAAGTGTTAAATTGGAGGCTGTTGTTTTAGTCATTACGCAAACAGAAGAAATTTCATGGTGCGAAGGTGTTTTATCAGGTGCCTTTATTATTTCTGAAGTGATTATGCGTCTACTCCCCTTTCGAAAGTTCGGCAAATGATCAGTTTACACGTTGGCGAGTTTTTCGAAGGTTTGGTCGGGAATGAGATGCAAATATATGAGGGTAGTAAAAGGTTTAACATAACGCGTGATTATGGCAAAAATTGATTTGTGACGCGTGTATTTTGCAGGCGAACGTGATGGTGAATTTATGAACCAGCGTCAGGCACGATTTGCCTCCTAAAATATGTGACCCGTGAATCTTTTCTTTCGTTTCGTGAAAACCTCAAAATTTACCTCAAATCTCGTGCACAGGCAGGTAGCCAATGCGACCAAATTTTTCACTTTGGCGACCAAATCCTGAAAGTTAGTCGCCAAATTGGCGACTAGAACGTTTCATCATAACCTTACCTAGAGATATACTGAATTAGAAAGATTTGCAAAGATAAATCCGCGGCAAACGTAGCACGTGCTTCTCGATCGACAACTAGACGCCGTCTTGGATTTAGATGAGCCTGAAAGTTGTATATCATCCATCCTAGTGTCCAATTTATAGCACGTTAAGGATCTTTTCCCTAACTTAATTTTGGAGGGTCTATCTAGAACGCTGACAGCGTAAAGAAAGATTTTGTTTGTCTTTGAAAATGGCGACAAACTTTTTTTGAATTGGCTACCACTTTGAAGAATTTAGGAGCCAAATGGCTATCAGAAAAAAAAAAGTTAATTTCACGCCCTGAAATTGAAAAGGTTCCCAACCTCGCGTAAAAAACAGAAAGCGCAGAAAAAATTTCTTTTGACGTTTTAAAAATCATTCAAAGGGAGCAAAGTATGGTTGTTAGGTCTGACAGACCAATATTGTATTCAATGTATTGGGCCTTAAAAATGAAAAACAAATTTAATAATGAAATGACACAGACTGAAATACCTTCTTTTACACATAAAGGGCATTGAAATGGTACTTGCTGAATTTCTAGAAAGGGGCACTAAAAGTTGATGTCCTTTCAGAACGGGGTGTCTCTTTAAATACAATTTTTGGCAATGATTTCTAACCTCGGGAACTGAGTGGCACATGTCAAATCAACCTAAGTCATCTTTCCGAAATCTGGGATGTGGTGATTTTTGTTTTATATTTGACTTATGGCTCGACGTTGAGTCCGGGTATCATCCGTAAGCCCCCTCCCCTCAGAACAAGAATGTCTCGGGGGAGTTTATCATCCGACACAAGATACCTTTATTAACATTACTCTATGAATTCAATAAAGGAATGAAACACTGAATTTTTAATCTCTTGACACTAACTTCACTTTTGCGTCAGCTTTATATCGTGTAGAGGTGACAACTGCTGATGATCAGTGGGGAACAGGGACCGACGCAGATGTTAGTATTCAAATCTTCGGAGTCAAAGGAAACACATCAGTTGTTGAACTAACCAAGCCAGGCAACCTGTTTGAAAGCGGAAAGTAAGAGTTATTCTAATCTCACAGTACTACAGATCTAAGATTCCGCGAGTAGGGCCTGATTCGACAGGTTATCCATTTTGAATGGATTAGCCCATAGTGACGCTTTCCACTTTAGCTCGAAAGACTATTTTGGAAGGCTATGTACTCGATCATTTATTTACTCATTTATTAACCTGTTTTTTTATACTTTATGGGCCGTTTTATTCATTTGAAAAGTTGCCATTTGTTCATAACACTCATCATTTTTTATGGACAAGTGGTTTTGGGGGATGTGAACATTACGAAACACAAACGCGAAAAAAAAACAACAACAAACAGATAAAAAAAATCACATAACGACAATTTCATAAACATTTTACCTAGGCAAGGAATAATGCAGCACTCAGTTGGTGATCAATAACCCACTATGTCACATTAACCATAATTTTATATTTAAAAGCTGAACTTCTGTAAAATTTCAATCGCTTTCTTTTTTTTCAGCACTGATGAATTCATTTTTTTGGGAAAGGCTGTTGGTTCTCTGACAAAAGTTGGTATCAAAAGGAATGAAAAGGGACTCTTTGACAGCTGGAAATTAGCGATGGTAGGAATAATATTTTATTTCAATATTGGCTTCAGATGCGCAAATAGTCTGACCCGACAAAAATTTATTAGATACCTTCCTTTTTAATTGAATACTTTACAATCAAGCGTTGTTTCTGATTCGCCTATTAACAAGTAGCTTTTCACTGGTATATTTACACCTACCAGTTATTCAAGGAACAAAAGTTCACTTATAACAACCAAATTCAGTCAAAGACCAATTTAAGAAGGGCACGATTGGGGACCTTGTGTCAAGTGTTTAACTTAGGAACGAAAACTCCTGATTCAAACCCTGACTGGGTTATTATGTCCACCTCTGACCGAAAAATATTCAATCGCAGTGCTGATTTCTGCGTAGAAGCACTGATGGGAATCAGCAATCTCACGGGGAAACTAGGTAAATATGCAGGGGTTCGAAGTATATACCTCCCATTTAGCGATGATTTTGGTAACCTAAATATTTACAAAACTGAGACAAGCTCTTTTAACTGTTCTGCGAACAATATGCTCATGTTCCCTACTGCTAAACGTTCCTTACAAGAGTCTTGGACGTGTTGTTTTCTTGTCGTAGGTCTCTGGCTCTCGTTTTATTGATTGTTCGAGGAGTTTAGGGCCTTAATTGTCCGCCGTCATATTTATTGAGACTTTTTTTCCTTTAGGTTACTGTTAAGCCTGCTGGATCTCTTGTTCACAAGTTTGCTTTTAACGATTGGATACCTCCCAATAAATGGGTGTACAGTTTTGGTGGAAATATGCATCGCCGGGCTTTTAAGCGTGCTTGATTTTGAAAATCACAAGGGGGGACTTTCCTTTTTCATTATTGTAGTAACTAGGGCTGATTGTATACATCTGATTGTAATGAGATGAATAAATAAAGTCATTATTCGTCTCGCAGTTCCCCATTTAAGTAGTTATTATAATTTTGTTTCGTCAAAATTTGCGAGAAAAAACACGATTTATTACTTTCAAGTAGCCTATGTAATATGCTCAGAGATACGCAGAAAAATCTATTCAATAGTTAAATTATACATCCAGTTTTGCTAAGAAAGGTCCTTCTTCACTGAACGTAACACACGACCTTACTATTTGATCCACAATGCAAAGTGGAAATTCATCCTTCCCCTAGCAACCCTACACCTTAAGAATACTGAGATATTACATCTGTAAAGCCCATCAAAGATTACAATGATAGATCAGTTCTATCTGGTACAGCAGGATATCAGGCGAGTTTGGTCGAACTATTATTCTTTGGTCATGTATTTACATCTTATTTCAGACCAAACATTTGACACATCACCAACGTGTAGACTGATCATCTGCACAACTTGCGAAGGAGAGGAGTCGAATAATCACTTCAGAAATATTAAAGACACGGGATAATTTATATCGCAAAGGAAAGTCATTAAAAGATATCCTGATCAGAGCTAAACTTTGAAGGCTGAAGATTTAAAATCTTCTGCTTGCGAATGGCGGAAGTTGTACAGGCCTGTCAACACTTTTTAACTACCATTTATGTTTTTTGGACATTTTTAAAAAAACACTACAGATTCAGCAAACATCTGGAAAGCATTAGCAGCCTTTGGTGGATATTTCAGCACCCAAAAACCCTCACATCCCATTGGCTCACTACTATTGTCTAAACAAGGGAGTCAATAAAGGAATCGGAACCACATTGAACGGAAATTTAGACCCACACGCATAACGGCTTTCGGAGATATAAAAACTCGCACGACAACAAAACCTTTGATTGCTCTTAGACAGTCCTTACACAACGGACGCGATTCAGAAAGAATCGAAACTGCAATATTAACTTAGCATCTATTCACAAATGACAGCAGTTACACTCACAGCCGACGGAGCCAGGTGAATATCAGTTTTATAACTGACCGGTGATTTTACACCACGTGACGTAAAGTAACCGATAAAATCGCGTGAAATTAATGAGTGGACTATAATGTAGGATATCGAGAAAAATCATGGACCGATTTGCTCATTGCGAGATTGGGTATGGTTATGCAACATTCCTATTTGTATTCATTGATTTAAATTTATTTAGTTCTGCAGCATTTTTGCTTACAGCTGAGTTTGGCTAAAAATCATCCCATCTGGCACAAGATGCCTCACTTAATTGACCCTCTTATGGTACAATTACCGAATAACCTAACGAATAAAAATGTTGCCGCGGGGATTAACCACATTTCTGACGTGGAACAAACCATTTTTCCCACAGGGGTCATGCGTGGGCCAGTTACCGGTCTGGGTTGAACTCTCCCAGTAGTAATAGGTCTTCAACTCGGTAGTGCTCTTGGAATAGTACAGATGAGGACCATAGTTAGAGGACGATTCTTTGGTGAGCATACGTATCTCGTCAGGAGCAACATTTGGGCAGACAGTGGCGATATTTTTTATTACTTTACAGCTCAGGCTGCCAGCTTTGTAATCCACCAGGCTTCCGATTCCTTCTTTACAAGCGATCCAGTGGTTGATGTTGGACTTGACCATGAACTCGTTGCCTATTTGTTTCCAGAATTTAAAGTTCATGGCACCCAACTGTGTCTCTTTCAAAGGTACCTTCGTCGATATCGGAATTTCCCCTTCCGCTGGCCATGAGGGACGTGGTGTAACTGCATTACTACCGTCCGCAAAGTTGCTAGGAAGAACAAACAGATGAAAAAGAAGCACATGACGAAATAAAACAAAACAGAGTAAGAGTAGATCGGAAAAGATATCCCAGTTATTTTATCCAAATAATTTAGCCTTACGATCTTACGATGATCTATTCCTTGTTCGAATTTGAATTGTTATCGATTGTGATAACAAATTAGCTTCCCGAAAATAGTGGCTTTGGTGTATTGATCTTATCGTATTGACATTATCCAAGCACATCAATATCTGTTTTTTTTTCATAGTAGCTGTGGCTACATACTGGTAAATGCATTACGAGATGCAATCAATTTTTTCGGAACCAAGATTACAAGGCTCCTGATATGCCCATTGTTTTTTTCGGGAACTATCATAAAAATCTGCCCTCCTTTTTCTCTGATATTTCCTCATAAATTCCTCTTCTCTCAGCGTACATGAGAGCTTCCTCGTTCGTCCAATCCCACTTACGGATAATTTGTAAAGGTGTAACTATACACTAATGTCCAGCCTCCTCCATCAGTTTCTTGGTCACAGTAAGCACGGAATGCTTTTCCACCAGATGGGTTTATCCAGTAAAGTCCTGACCCACCGAGAGAATTTTGTTCTTTAATAACCTTACACGACTTGCCAGGATGATCCTTGTCTTCTCCGATATTTATTGGTGGAGCTGTTGAAAAAAAATGTTATGGAAGCCTTTAATGGTACAATAAGGAGACCGTATCCTTTTTATGGTCTCTACATAACCTTTGTTGCTGAGGAAATTCATCTCAAGTTGCTGTAGATTTGGATCATTTCTTCTCCTAGGAATGGAATGTTTCTGGAATGTTTAGATTTCGATGAAATAAGCGCTCAGTCAGAAGTCAACGCCAGAAAACTTCATAACTCAATGTTGGTTATTTAAAATCATGCTGTGATTTTCTACAACGGAAGGCATCCATTAATATCTAAAGCGATTTAAATTTATAACAAAAAAAAGCCCGAATAAAGAAATCAGAATGCATTTCAGTTCGGCAGCAGAGCTTGTTCGCGTTAAGAATACCTTCACATAATGAAACAGAACTTATAGTAAGAAGAAAGAAAACGAGAAAAACGGATGTAAAAATAGGTAGGAGGAAGGAGATAAAGAGGGTAGCTGAAGGGGAAGAATCGAATAAAGTCGGACTTCAGACTTATAGCGCTTGTTGCACTTGCAAAGTGTGATACAGCTAACAGAGGCTAATAAAAGTACTTGATTCACGGATTACTTCCTAATCAACATACCTATGGAGGGCTTCTCTCTTCCTAATTCAACAGGAAAGAAAGAAAACAGGAAGAGTTAATAATTGGTTTTAAGTACTCGAAAGCGATTGTCAACCAGTGCATAGTCTTGTTTCTAAATCATTGAATTTTCACCGGGAAAATTATCGTTCTCAGTTGATTTAGTAATCAATTTATGCCGATCCTCCACGGGCGAGGTTTGATCCATTTTCCTTGAAAAAAGGGAGGAGACTTTAAAAGGTGAGGGGGTTATCAGAGAGATTGTAGGTTTCTTACTCTTACTGCCACAGTAGCGATAACTCCCAGACGGCGCTGCAGGTAACTGATAAATGAGGAAATCTTGTGGACATCTTTTGACCTTGACAAACACCTTTTTAGCGCAACAATTGTTGCCTTCATCGAAACAAACTTTCTTTTTGACAGTCTTTCCAATATTCTTGGGATTAGCACCAAGCATAAATCCGGGATACATTGCGCCACATGCCGGCCCGGCAACACACTCGTTTTTCTTCAACCTGTAGGAAAAGCGGATGAATATGATGTGGGTTTAAGGTTTTGAACTACAAGTAGTTTTGTTGGATGGAGAAGTCAATGATACATTCTTACACGTAGGCAAGGACATCGATTATCTCGGAGCTTATTCCAGTGCCCGGAGCCCGAAGAGACCAAGAGTATTGTTGAGAGAAGTAAACCTTTAGGTATTTCGTGAGAGTTACCTGAAAACTTCTCGGTACCAATTTGTTTCCCTGGATTGAGAGAGGCATTGTGATAGAAGAGTGTCTTCTCGAAGAGCACAAACTCTATGACCTAAGCCTAGACTAAATTTCAGATTCTAGAATGGTAACCATTTAGTTATTAACACCGTTTCGTTCGAGCATCCTAATAAAAAGGGATCGGAGAGTTACCTGTTTGCCAATTTGAATCCTGCATCATCGGTAAAACGGTACCATTTTTTAGGCTTCAAATCCGCCGCGTCGCTTTTTCCTTTATCTTGAGTGAATTTCCTCTCTCTGTCAGATTCGGTTAGCTTTGTGTATGACGAGCAAGGGTCTTTTCCTACAGACAAGGTCTCTCAAATTCAGTTGCAAATTATGTCGTTATTTAAATGATCTCACACCTGTTCCCTTTCAAAGAAAGACGGTGCAAGGGATACCACATATGCTAGCTCAATACCACTTCTGTCCATCAGACTTGAAAGCTTTTTAACGAAGAATCTTAATAAACGGGGATTTACCTTTTTTATTTTTTACTTCGCTGTGCGATCAGTTAAGAAAACTCTGTCTACCCTCGCAACAAATTAAATACAGTGAAATATTCGTGTTTTCCTTCGCTTCCGGAAGTTTGCTTGTTTTACTTCGAATTCTGTTATCCTCATTGGCTCCTTTTGAAACTCTCCTTTGTTCTACAAACAAATATCATCAATACAACTGAAGAAAACACCTAATGCTGTTACCTCCTTTGATTACAGGAATACGTGATATGAGGAAAACCATCAAAAAGATCTTCAATGTCATTTCAGCAGTATCTGGTTGGAAGAGAGCAATTGCAAAAGATATTAGGAGTAAATATTAGGTTAGATCTGTGTGACAGTTATGCAAAGCTCAAATCCAGAACTCTTTTGTCGCATTTATGCTACATTTCTTGCTGCTTTTAGACCTTGTTCCCAATTTCTATTTTCGGAGGCAACTCAATTACCTTGTGGCTGTAACAACGTCTCAGTTCTCTTATAAATAACTGAACCCAGGAGACCACCGATAATTCTGTCTTGTACGGGTCCCTGTTTGGGTTTTGTTGGTACACTCCAAGTCAAGATGACTGATCTTCATTCTGCAGAGCTTTTAAGTCCTACTGTAAAATATACGTTCAAAAAGAACGCCCACACTAGGTTCGCGAAAATCTTCCGCCGCTTTTTTTGGAATATTAATCTTATCCTAAAGTATTTTTATTTGGATCATAAAACTCGCAAAATAACACGTGTGCGAAACCCCAAAAAGGAGAAAACAACCGGCCGATGATGTGAAAAAGAATTCGTTCAGCTATTATTTCAATACCGAAAGCTGGAAAGTAGGGTCAAAATTGAGCCTTGAAGATTGAAGATTTTTTTTTCGCAATACTAAAAAACTAATTTCCAAATGCACAGCGGGAACTAAATAGAAATAAGTGAAGCAATAAAAATACCCTCTCTTGAGAGTGTTAGTCTCAATCGAACTTTCTGCATAACTGTAACACACCGCTTCAATTGTGAAGGCTATATTTTCTTTTCGTCCGAAAGCTACTGGCGTAATTTGCCCGAAATTGAACCAAGAAACGGAAAATATTTTTCGGAAAGGCTCGAATTGAATGATTTGAATTGGACTTATGCTATCACTCCGTGGTATCCATACACTCATTTTTTTCTCCAACGAATGGCACATTTCCTAAGCGGCAACTCAGAAGCTTTGGTTACTGGCGGCGATTTCCTTCGTTCAGTCTTCAAGTATGTATCAGTGAAAAATTTCTCCCTTTAAAAATATTTATTGGAGTTATTATACGAACCTTACATGTAGTCTGACGCACATTTCAAGATTATAAACAACAATCAGGATTGGTTGGTTAGAAAAAGACAATGAATTACAAGAAAGAACGATATCATACAACATACATAAGTATACTCCTGTTAAGTCAAAATAATTCGACTATATCTTACCTTAAAAGAAGAGATTTTTCCCGGAGATAATGGATTCTTGTTAAGGATGAATAAAAGGTGCACGGAAATGTATTCCAAAGAAAACTGAAGATTGTTCCTAAGCAATGTTAAAGTTCTGCCGAAAAATTCTGTAAACACTCAACCAGGGAGCTAAACGTTTTCAACTTTAGATGTTTGTGATATCGTGGAAAACTATCTCATGATATTTACCTTTAATTTTGTTTTTGTGCTACCTCCCAGCAAGACTATAACAAGAATTAGAATAAATACAATACAATTAAATGTTTTTAATTGCAGGAATGTTCTGGAGGCATTTCTAATGTTCCTCACAACTTAAGAGCAGCACTTTTCTCCCACCAGTCCAGAATGTGCGATTGCCTTAATGGCTTATCTTACTCAACAATAAGTTTACGGAAAGTCATGAAACGTGCAATGATTATATATGTAATGAGATTATATATGTAATGAGAATATTGTTCTGTAAACCGGGAATCAACTTAACGCGTTGCAAGTCTCACACGCTAGGAATCGAGGCATTATGAACCGGACGAAAGAAAGGAAAGAGAAGAAAGAAAGTCGAGGCATCCAATTTATGATTTGAATGGGATTTGAATATGATTTGTCAATAGGAGTTTTATTGTTTATTATAAGCAGCAGTTGTTATTCTTTGAATTTTTAATCTTTTCCTTTATTTTTCGTGCTATAGCTTTTTATTTCTATTTTAGTAAAGGAACAAGATATCCTTTTAGGACTTTTAGCATGAGCGTAAATATAACATAAATTTGCTGTCAACTTTTATGACTGTATCATTTACACAAAAAAATTAATTGAAGTTATCAACTGGAGGAAATAAATTGTTTGTTCATCCTTTCTTATAATTGTACATTTTGTACTCTAAACATTCAAAACTAGTTATAAATTGCTAATCAATTAGGGCGGCCAATACAATGATATTCAGCCATGGAAGGAAAACATCTCGTCCTTCAGAAATTGAACGGGAGCAAGCCAAAAATGATATTCAAAGAACATCTTAATCGCATCTCAGCAAGCGTTAACGTTGTTTTGACAAAATTTGGGTATCGTGTAAGGCCAGTCACAAAACATAAAGTTTTAATGAACATGGACGATTTTTGGTGAAATATCAATTTAAGCAGACAAAATCTAACGGCATTTGTCTTGTTTTCAGAAAAAGAACCATCGCCCATCCCATCGGGCAGAATGTGTGCATATTATTAATTATTCATAACCGATATAGCCGCAAATTTGAACGCGACCTCGCTTTGAAGAGCCCTAGATTAGCTTAAATTGTAGAAGAATGGACAAAAATTGGTCACGTTTCTAAGCTTAAGAAGTGCATGCTTCCAAATCAACGCACGGCTTTTTTGAAGGTTAATGATGTATCTACAATTTGCAACTAAAGTAACGATTTTTACGAAGTAGAAGCATTATCCTTTTGCACTTTAAAATACTCAAAATTCGGTCATTCGGAAACTGTGATCCTTCAATGGCGAATTTTCGTATGCTCTACTTCGTTCGTTTGTCCTTTTTCGAATCGAAAAAGCTTGCTTTAGATATATTCACAGACTTCATTTTGTCCTTCATTTACGGCGGTAAGAGAAATAACTTTTCAATTAGACAATCGAATCCTAAGCGGGAAATACTAGAAAACACTCGTTGTTTATCAAACTGTCGGAGACCTGATATGAAGCAAAATTAACGTTGATTAAGTTTTATTTTCAGTTTAAGTTTTAGCGAGAGATGAACAAATATTGACCCTTAATAAAAATCGAACGCATATTGCCATTACAAATCCAACGCTTGAAATAGCCAGGTTCAAATGTGCTCGCGCTAAGGTTGATATCAGAGACAACAGATTAAACAATATATAGTTGGGAGGCCTTTGTTTCTTAGCCCCGCCTTGACAAGTTAAAGTCTCCTTCGCAGCCGTTGTTTGGCCTCGTCACACAACGCTCTATACTCCCCGTTATAGAATGAGCGCGTTGCGTGACGAGACCAAATAACGGTTGCGAAAGAGAATACGCTATTACTAGTTATTGACGCTAATGTTTTACGTATAAACTTTCTATACTATGAAGAATTGCACTAATTTATTCTATAAGAACCTTTATTTGAACGTTCAGATTAACCAAAATTTTAAGAACATACGAAGAACATGCCTGGGCTAAACATGCCCAGGCTAAACCTCAACCGCAGTGCACATATCTGATTCTCATATATTTATAGTCATTATTCACCACTTGGAATGTTTATTTGGATCTAACATAATGACCAGCTCCCTGTTAGCTTGTTGGCTCAGTTGGTAGAGCGCTGCACCAGTATCGCAAAAGTCATGGGTTCAAATCCCGTACGGGACTGAATTTTTTTCAGGCCTTATTTAAACTACTAGTTCAGTAGCGTTCATGACTGTGAGGGTCGCTTCTATATTCAAAGGTAAAAGAATTGTAAAACTGTATCAAACAGGACAATTAACTCACGTTTGAACTGGTGTATTGAAATGCTATACCACACAAGTACAAGAACATGTTAAGGACGTTTTCAGGCTCAAATCGCAAAATTGAAAAAAAAGAACAGGTTCAACCTCAAAATTAGATGTTCTTATTTGAAAAAGGAGTGTTTCTAGTTTGCTGCATGATGTGGCTTATAACCGTGCGCGTGTTCCATCATTGGGACATTGCGCAACTAATTACAAACGTTTCAGACGTTCATTCGTATAACACGCGATCTTCCCATTCCAAGAATACAGGAGCCTTTTTTTTTAAATAACTCTATGTTAGCGTATAGAGAATGGTATGTTGCTCACACCAATCAGATCGCCGCATCAGGGTATGTATCTCGCACCAATTAGAGCGTCGTTTTGTTCTTTGGTTTGAGAGGTGTTGAAATTTCAACGAAGTACTGGCGGGATTCGTGGAGAGCGATTCGCAAAATGGAATCATCTTTTAGAATGAGAAATGTTGGCTTTTCTGTGTTTTTAATGTGTATTTTACCGCGCTTTATGAGAAATACGATAATACTGGACAGATGTAAGATATTAGATTACCTATAGTAAACGTGTTACTCATGCTGTGAAAATGGTGGACAGTTGTTCGAGAGAAAATGGAGCTCTGTGCACTGTAGCACGATCTTGGTTATTGTTCCTTCACGACAAGAGTGAGAGGAAAAATTGTGATTCAAATATTGCTTGAGGTGTTGATGGATCGCACCAAACATTTTGAAGCTTTGGAAGCTTTTTCGCCTCGTGTGACATCGTGTTTGATTGATATGCAATGTTAAGAGGTGTTTTTATTGAACAACGATTTTTCTGCGAAAGATGGCTGAGTTTTACCTTTGGTGGTTTGGTGTTACTCTTGGATCGGGTCTTTCGGTGTCAGAAGTTTGAACGGCTGCAAGTGTGTTGGAAGATAGATTTTGTGTCATCATTGGCTGTTGAGAGAAATTGTTTGGCTGTTTCGAGGGTAATTATGAGAACACTGGACGAATGGAAATATTTCCGATGCCTGGAGAAAGTGATCTTGTGCGGTAGTTAGATAATGGCGTAATATGTGACTAACACAGTCTATAGACTGTACGATTTTGCGCCGCTATCTGCGTCGGTGTATACGCTGTAAGTTTTAAGGCGTCAACTAACGGCGTAAAATCTTACGGTATATAATATACCGACTGGAAGAAATTACGCCGTTAGTTACTAGCGTAGAATCTTACATATATACACTACCGACTGAGAGAAATTACGCCGTTAGTTACTGGCGTAAAATCTTACATATAAACACTACCGACTGCAAGAAACTACGCTGTTAGTTACTGACGTAAAATCTTACTCATATACGCTACCGACTGAAAGAAATTACGCCGTTAGTTACTGGCGTAAAATCTTACATATAAACACTAGCCTACTGAAAGAAATTACGCCGTTAATTACTGGCGTAAAATCTTACATATAAACAATACCGACTGAAGGAGGTTACGCCGTTAGTTACTGGCGTAAAATCTTACATGTAAACACTACCGACCGAAAGAAATTACGTCGGTAGTTAATGGCGTAAAATCTTACACGTATACACTACCGACTGAAAGAAATTACGCCGTTAGTTACTGGCGTAAAATCTTACATATAAACACTACCGACTGGTAGAAATTACGCCGTTAGTTACTGGCGTAAAATCCTACATGTAAACACGAAAGACTGGAAGAAGTTACGCAGTTAATTACTGGCGTAAAATCTTACATATAGACACTACCGACTGGAAGAATGGTAGATGGTAGATTACTATCAGATGTTAATTTGTTTATTTTTTAAGTACAGCCAGACGACATCGACACCTCGTCCGTGATGGTAGCTGACAATTATATAATTTCACTTGAAAGACGACTACTTTTCTTTAAGGAAAATGTTAAACGAGAGTCCTATGCGTGACGTAACCAGCACACACAATTCCTCCATTAGGATTTAAAATCTCAGACAGCCTCTATTTTTAGGTCCATCGGGTGCTTCACCAACATTACCAACTGCGTAAATATGAAAGCGATCTTAGCAGTACTGAACACTACTCAAGCAGAGGTGAAAATAGGGCGTGTGCGGGATTTAAACCCATGACTTCTGCTATTCCGGTGCAGTGCTCTACCAACCAAGCTGACAAGTCAACTGGGAGCTGGTCATTCTGTTAGTTCCAAATAAACCCGTTAATATATGAAAATCGTATATGTGAACTGCAGATAAAGAAGTGAATGAATATTAGTCTTTTTTGTCGAGAAAATGTTTCTGTGATCTTCTTGATAAGCGTCGGGCTAGTAAAAATTATAATTTTTTACCAGAAGAACAACACTCAGGACGCCGCAAAAGAAAAGATATTTATTTTCGGGGTTACAATGGATAACGAATACTCAACATTTCTTCATACCTTCGTTAGATTGATTCAAAGTGATCAATGCAGGAAGAAGAAGAAAGTTGCCTGACGTTATGTTGTTGCGCAAAGTGACAATGGGTGTGTTCTGATGATGTAGAGATACTTACTAAAGCTTTCCTTTTTTGCATTTGATTTGTGAAGATGATAGCAACTCAATTTTATAATAAGCTTGCCAAGCTGGTAGTTACAAGTCACCACTAAGAAACAAGCGAAATTTGGAATATGTAAAATTCATTTAACATTGAATTTAAAAAAATTTTGCTTATTTTCTTCAAAACAATGTTTTGTCCATTGTTTTTTGTAAGTTTTCCTATTTGCGGCGTTTTCGTGCGTTCAGGCCCGTTTTGTTCTTACTTGCGACATGGGTTGTTTTACGATAACGTCACTGACCAACCCAAATTTTCATCTGAGTTAGTTTATCAAATCCGGTAAACATGATGGATTGTTTTAAATAAAGAACAAAAATAGAATTAAGGAATAAAACGAACTGTGGTTCAAACCGCACTTCGAAAACAGCGGCGATCAAAAATAGACGTGCACCTTTTACTCTTGCCTGGCGGTAAAGTTCAAAGCATATAAAAAACCAAACGTCATATAATTGACAGTGGGAGCCACAAATAAATTACCATAAAGTTTAAATTTTCAGAATATATGGACTGACAGCTAAAATCAGTTCACGAAGCTTGAGACTGGGAGTCTAGCCTTCAAAGTCGCATCTTGATTCTGTCCATCGGTTTAATCTTTTCTATCAATGTCCAGGTTTCATTTCAAACGACAAAGAAAAGTACGTCCATGCTTGATCTTTGATCGGAAATGTTCCGAAAACAAGCCAGTGACAGTTCGCCAACGAACAGCGATGTTTCAGATCGAAAACAATGATTCATCATCACTTGCTGGTCAAGGGAGTAAAGAAGGTAACGCGAAACGGCAAAATGAGGGCTTGTCAAATGGCGATGGAGGTCCAGAGAATTCCTTGGACGGGACAAACGACTATTTTGCCATTCCGACAAGAGGCATGTTTTCTCTTCGGAAAAGGAATTCAATGAAGAAAACCCCTGAAGAACTGGCGATTCGTATGGTCATCATTGAACAGACTTTGCAAACAAGGCGAAATGCAATATGCAAGGAAATAGAACGAAAAATGTATATTCAAGGGGCATGTTTAGAAAAGCACCGTCACAATTTGCAAATCACCCATGAACTGATGTCTCGTGGTCTGTTATGGCCATGAACACTAAAGTTAATTTACAAGATGCAATGTATTTGAGGTAATTTTTACCTATGATTTCATAAAATTTTAGAGACAGGTACAGAGATCACCACTATAAGTTTTTACGCAACACAAGGAGTTAGTTAGTATCCGTTTCTCGTTTCGATAATACAGTAATTAAACAATCGTTCTAAACCTAACACGAAAGTGTAAGTTAATCAGTTTGTTTTGAATACGTACATTCTCCGTTGCTTGCCTTCAAATTTGTTTTTAAAACAGTTTTGAGATATTTTGATTTGTGAATGTATTGCGACTCTAGCGGGAAATTTCGACATAGACCCTTCTTCCAATACATGAATGAGATTTAGTCATCGTCTGGCGACTGGCGATCGGGGAAAAAGAGAAAAAGAAGAAAGAACATGTTACAGTCTAAATGTTATGCAGACGCACTGAAGTGTAATCCACAATGCGCATTTTCTTTAAAAAATCTTTACGGACCCTATCGAAAGATTTTATTTGGTACACAAATGTAGTAATTAAATATTCAGGGAAAGTACGCATTCTAGAACCAACGGTACAAATGATTACGTGAGAGTGATTGCAATTCAGCACAGTTACGTTTTCTTTTCTTGTTGTAGCTTCATCGGAATGAATGAAAAGAAAAGAATTTTTCGAAGTATCTGAGCTAGCCTGATCTATTGACCACCCCATCCACTGCCCCCATTGTTTACCTTTTTCATTTTAATGTTACCGTTAACCCTCCGGAACCAGATAGCTTAAAATGAGAACAGTATTAAAATCCTGATAAATAGTCTCTGGTTATAGAATGTCGTACGATTAACTTCATCAAACCTTATTCGAAAAGTAAGCGGTAAAATACATTTAGTCCTAACTATATTAATTGCTGTAAGCAACAGAACTTGATGAACCAGAAATCTGTAAGTAAAATGATAAAGTGTAAAATGATGATTCATGAGTTCTGATGATACTATCTATAATAATAATGGTGTTCTCTATAAATTGTGATTGACCTAAAATTTACCTCGATTGTTTGTAATGCAAAAAGGAAAGTTTGGCACCCACATGTTTTTTTTCCTGTCTCTCCAAAGATCACTCACCACTCCTTTATAACACCTTTAGAGGGTACTCATTTTCACTATTGCACTATTAAGAATTCAATGAAAAATGTATTGCTTTCACTTTAAAAACTACTTAAGAGAAAGATTTTTCAGACTCAACTTTTCCCGAAAGAATCGCCTGACCTTTTCGCAGACTTATTCGACCCTGCGCCAAAGGAGAATTAAAAACAATAATATGGAAATAATCCAAATGAAATAGTTTTAGATTGGTATCCTTTTCTTCGCCTTGTGATTGATGGAGCACAACGTTCTCAACCAATCAGATACACCACTAAACCCAATCGAGACTTGGCCACTCGCCATTTCCTGCGATTGACTCGATTTCCTTTTTTTTTTTTTTTTTAATTGAGTTCTAATCGGCGTTCGGTGAAATTTTGTCTTCGTCTTGATTAGCCGTTAGTTTTTAAACATGGGTTTTGAGACGCTCATGGAAATGTTGTTTCACTGTTCATATTCCATCAAGTCATCATCCTGGAGGCCGCAAGATCTCCCAGGTCAGTATTTGCCTTAAAACCATTTCTGTGAACTCATTGCGGTTTGGTTCGTATTACACCTTGTGGCTAGGCCTATTCTTTCAGTTTAGGTTCATAAAACGCGTGAACAAAGCCTTTCGTCATAAGGGTCGCGCGCTATGCAGTCCATATAGTTCAGGTGTCAGTTGTGGATTGTGATGAGCACCATATGCTCCATAACCATTACCAGTAATGACGCGAAAGCTGAGTTTATGGGACACAGCAAAACCGTCTGTTCCTTCCAATTGGGTCAAAAGAATCAGAATTTGCCTGCAAAATAAACAAGGAAGAAAAGTGTCACATTTCGTTTTTGATTTTGACGACACAATATGACTTAAATGGCTGTAAGGTCAAACGAGTCTAACGGCCCATCAGGAGCATAGCTATTACCACTGGACAGAATGCTATTCCACCTCTGATACCCAAGCTGCAGTCTCCCTGGTATTCCGCTGATAGCCTTTGATACTCCAAGGCATAGAGGGGCACTGTAAGAGTAAAATGTCTGCCCCAAGTACGAAACACAGAGACTCCAAACAGGATTCGAAACCAGGCCTCTCAATTCAGAGTCTTGCGCATTAATCACATATTGCGGCCCCTCCAAGAGGAATAAGGCGATGGAACAATATATATCTTACTTGTGAAGGGGTGGGACACAGTCGGTGGTCATTAGCACTCCTCTTGATGAAACCACATTGAAGCTCTCTGAGCAGTTACACTCTACTAGCAAGTGGTGATCTGGTCGGCGGTTTTCCGCTACAACAATTAATCCCGCAATCCCTTGTGCCATGTAGTAACATGTGACTCCTTCAATTCCCTACAAGAAAAAAAAATTATGTAACTGCACCTTAGAATATCATTCATTCCTAGCTGTCATTGTTTTTTACAATCATCCTTCTTCTCAGTTTGGCTCACTCTCCACACGTTACCGAAAGTTCAGTCCACCAGAGGGAGAGTTTTTCGAAAAAAAAGATCTTTAGCGTGATTAAAATGGAAAATACCGGCTACGTCAGGGTGAACTGCGCGATCGAAAACATAGAAACGATCAGTTGCATAAACTGAAATTCATCACGGGTCGAGGCAGAGTTTTGCTTTTAAATTTCAACAGTGTGCGAGGGTGAATTGATTGAAAACGATAACGTGACGCCGTTCATGTAAAATCTGGTTGAGCGCGGCTAATATCGACTGAGATACGAACCTCATGTTAGGAGCGAGTTTAATTTACGTGACATGGGTCCGTAAATCTCATTTAATCACATGTTGTGGTACTCCTTTTTTCTGGCTTTGTTTCTCATCAATTGTTTTTATCATTATGCTCCACTTGTAGAATCAATTCGTCAACATAACTTCTTTCCAACAGCTTCTACTAGAGGTTCGAAAAAACCCACGTACAGATATTTATCATTTGAGGTTAGAATCTTCTTTGAAAGGGTTTTTTACAGGCGTGCTATGAAACCAGCCCCTACCTCGTGCCGTTTGCCTTTTGTCGTAGCCAAATGCAACAGCGAATCAGCCAAAGAGTAATCTGTCATTGGAACCTGGTCTACCATGATAGCGCGGGAGCTGTGAATAGTGAGTACATAACTTGGAAAAAGTTCTTCACCCACTAGTCCTTTCACGAATGATGCTCCCATTGCTTCATTACCACTTGCTTCTAATAACTGCCAATGGTTAAAGGCTGAACAAACTAAAAGAGAAAATCCACAAAGTAAATTAACTACAAATCAAATCCCGTCGAAGCTTGAGTTTTCTGAGACTTTTTCGCAACGAAAATGTTGCATTTATTTTTTAACAACAATTTGTCACTTGTCGTATTTGTCATTTATTTCCTTTTTAACTTTATCAGTTATAAGTAAGTCTATCGCGTAGAGCAGATACACGGAGAAACCTACCAACCAACCAACCAACCAAACAAACAAACAAACAAACAAAAAATACTCTTTGTTGTTTTTTTTCAAAAGTAACCTCGGACACCTAATAAATGAAAAGTAGGATACTATGGCAAATATAAAATATTTGCAAAAGCGGCACTTAGCTTTATTCATTTTACACATTTACCACGCATGCATATACATACCAATCATATAGGTTCCTTCTTCCAGAATACCGCTACACGATACATTGGACTTCACTTGCCTCTTACTGTGGCAAACGAGTGAAAGAGGCTTGGGATTTGTTGTATCGGAGGATGTGCGACACACAATGATTGACAGATCAAGGAGAGCTTTATTACCCTCCGACTTCCCCCTGAAAGTGATCCAACAAGACATGGCTTTAATTTAGAAAAAGGGAAGGAAATGGTGGGGAGCGCAAAAGCTGAAAAAAAAAAGGGCGGGATGAAAAAGACTTCCTTTCCCCCCTCACATTAGCACACATGTATAAAGGGGAGCAAAGAGGCCTATGCACAAACATACTAGCATATAAACACTTAAAAGACCAACGTCGCACTATTCTGGGACATTTTTGGGACCTACAAAATTATCTCCGACTTGAACAAAAATTCTGAATACTAGTATCGAAAGATAAACGAAAATCAAAGGAGAGACGGTAAACCAAATGGGAAAAAGATGACAACACATCAAAACGTTCTTATGCACCTCACTCCTTCTTGAAACAAGCAAAAGTCGACTTCAGTTGTGTTAAACACATTCACCAGGGCAATCTTGGCTGGAGGACCAGCAAATGTAGGGAAACATCCATTGACACGAGCCTCTGCCCAGCCCTTTCTGATCTTACAGACGTCTACACTATCAAAGTACCTGGATATAAAAAAAAACAAAATTACGGTTATAAATGACCCTAGAACAGTTTTCAAATGCTAACAATTCTTGTCGCTAGATGGACATTCCTGGTTTTCAAGTGATGTTTAAACTTGTATATGGGTATAACGCATGACGCCGTCGTAGACCTAAAAGCCATACTGCCATCAGTCCTGGCAGTATGCTTCACTATCTGCCTTCTAGTTTAATCATAAAACAATGAACGTTTAGCAAAGTGACAAAAAACTGCCACAGCTTGCTTCCGTTATCGGCGACACGAGATGACTTAGAGTATGGCTACTCCTTAATGTCAATATGAGACGTCAGTCTGTAACCCCCAGCAGTTCGCACTTTACACTTACATAGTCCATAGATTTATAAAAGGTCAATTTAGTTATACAATGTTACAGTTGGATTATTTAATTTCTTAACTTTTTTTTTGCTAATTATACTAACACTAACGCCCTTGTAAAAGTTTTAATCGTTTGGAAATGTAACTGTGGAAGTTACGCAATTTAAACTTTTTCTGCACGGAGACTTCCACAAAAACCAATGTATCTTCTCATCTAGCCTGGTAAACATTCCATGCCCAACAAATTTAAAAAGTCACTCACTTCATGAAGTCTTCGAGGGACATCCAAAAGACTCCTTCCTCAGACCCAAGGGCCATCAGATCATATCTTAACTCAGGGTTCCACAAAGAGGACCCATCAGACCAGTCACCAGTCCACGAGAAGCGACCCCAGGGGTTTCGAAGACGAACGAGTCTGCAATTACAGCATTGGTCATAATTTCAGCCTTACGTACTAGTCAATACAAAGAATACGATGTCAATGGGATTTGTTTTCACTGAGGCGAAGAGTTGATTGGTAAGAGGTAAAAATATTTGTTGGAGCGGAGATTTAGGCGCGACAGGATGTTCTTATCTAATCTTTTTGCTTAATTGTATTGTTTCGATTATATATAGTTTTCCCTGGAATAACACGCTTGTGTGCCGTTGAGATAATTTTCTTTTATTTCTAACAAATATCGTATATATCATTTAGCTGCAAAAGAATATTACTAAACAGTTTCAATGAACTAATTCATATTAAATTACAGGGCCGGAAAATACCAAAGAAAGCGAAAATAAACCGTGGAAAGCTTGTATGTGAACTGGCCTCCCATAATTGTCTCAAAACAATCAAGTTAACAGATATGTTATAATGTAATTGTCAGTAGTTTGAAGTAAGTCCTTAAACAACTGAAATCTGTTTAGTTATTTGTCGCGAGCGTGGAAAAAACCCGCTTATTTCAAAGCGAAGATTCGACCCTGAGAGATTCTTGTCTCGTAAAAAAAAACTCGCAATCTTCCTAATTTATTGGTAATTTAGTGTTAACAACAGAGTTGGAAACGTTAATTAGCTACCGTAAAGAGTTTAAAGGTTAACGTTTCGCTCCTTAGCCCTTCGTCTCGAAACGTCAGCCTTTTAACTCTCTACGGTGGCTAATTTACTTTTTCAACTCAGTTGTTAACACTAAATTACCTGCTATACTCTCCCACCGCGCAGCACCACAGTTTCTTTAGAAACTTACCCCCTTTATTCCCTAATTTATTGACACACACGGATCTTTGCAGATCCTGGTACAGAAGTATGAAGGACGCAAAAAAAAAAACAAGACATCACCAACGTCGTTTGCATTAAAAAAAAGCTTACCTTACGCCATGAACATCCTTAACATCAAGCACTGAGTAAGCATGGTGAGTTTGCAAGCCAACCGCTGCAAAAAGATCTTCTTCTTCTGGCTTTGTGTCTCCACCACAAGAGGCACCCATTAGAAACCTGTAAGTTGAAATGCAACGCTGCAAGAGCATTTGGGCTGATCTTACTACATTTTGGTAGATATACAAAATGAACATAAGTTTGAAAACGAAGGTGGATGGGTGAATATGTGGTAGCCTGTGTCATGAAAAAAGTACGAAACCTTTGCACACATACCCTGCACTCCTGCAGCTCAGAAGCTGTGCCCAAATCATGTCTTTATCAATAGCCTCTGCATCACTTGTAGGGTTTTGAGGCTCTGTGTTAAAAACAACCATGACCAGTAACACATTAGAGCGCTTTTCGATTGAGTAGCGTAAAACCAAAACCAAAACCAAAGTAATCCTAATGGCCGATCAGAATAAGGGAAAGTACCCTTTGGAGCCAATGAAAACCCGAGTAAAAAACAAGAAAACTGCCCAAAGCGTGGATAAACGCGGGCAACTAAGTCGTGATTGGTTTTAGCTTCGCATCTTATTAGCTGAGAGAATGGCGCGAGTTTTCTGGACCAATCACAGAGCGAGGTAAAGCAAAACCAATGCAATCAAGAATTACCTACGACACTCACTTCTAAATTTCTTTAAAAAACCTGAAATTCTCCACATTGACTGCACTTAGTAACCACTGTAATAATACTACATTCAGTCACCATGAGCACAAATTGAAAGACGTACAAAACGTGTACAGCCACCTACTTGCAAACTTTCCAACAACTATGCAATTTTTAATCTAATTGGCCCAAAAGCTTGAACTCAGTGGGGGTGATTTTTTGCAAGTTATGTAGTGAGCTGATAGCCATTGAAAAGAAAGAAATATTGCTGAAACTGAATATTTTCTTTACTCCCATTGCTTGCCCTCTTGAAAATGCACTGATAATGCGAGAAAGGTATCTTATTAGTCACAACTGAATGAGTCTTACCATGCAGCACAAAACTCTCACAAGGTGCACCTGTCAAAGTTTGCAGGCCTTCAATGCAGCGTCCAGCAGTGAGAGCCTGATAACAACCATGCAGTTTGGCCATGGCCTTCTCAATCAATGGTACCCATAATTGCTGTCGGCGGGCCTACAATAGAAAAACAGTTTTTAAACATTTTTTGGAATTTTTTATTTACACTTCACTGAAATTCCCACATAAACAACGTCTTAAATGCTTTTTAGATATCTTCCCTGATCCAAATCTAATACAGGTTTGTAACTCTTCAAATGAAACTGGCAGATCTACATTTACTGGGCCATAAGTAGAAGGTGAAGTGTAGGAGTATGTTCATCACAGGTTACCACCATGCAATTTATCTATAGCCCGTATGCAAATCACTGGTGCCCAAGCAGGTGCTGCAGGGCAAAGTACCTTGCCTAACAATATAACACAACCCTGAGTAAGGCTACAACCCAGACTTCTTGAGCTGAACTCCACAGTACAAACAATACAAGTCAGTAAGGACTTTGCACTGCTTACTTTGGATTATACCTGTGAATAAACTGGTTGTCCATGGTGATCACAAGGTAGTAAGTCATCAACCAAGATTATTGTCCATTTTCCATCTTTGCAAAGCCGAACTTGGTAAGCTCCCTCTTTATTGATCTAGACAAAAATGATATGACACATGAACAAGGTTGTGCTTAACAGAGGGAAGTAAGTAAAATGTAAAATCTAGCTGCATTTGTTTTTCAGTTCACGTGGGTTTAAAAGTTTACCCAGTTAGATTGTTGCTTTCATTCTTTCCAGGCTGCTTCTAAATCTGTTCCAAAGTTTTTCCTCTTGCCAATGATGGAAAATTGTAAATACAGCTATCATCAATAAACAAGGTCTAAATGAGGAATTTGGTTGTATAGCATGTAGATTGTGTCATGGCGTGCTGGTAATGGCATGCTGGTAATGGAAGCAAAAATTCTACTTGTGTAAAACTGTTTTGTCTGTGTACCTCTCTTGTTATCAAAATCTTTTCCAAAAGTTCTGGTCTTTCACCTAAAACAGCCATTGCACTTAAAAACCTGCAAACAATGGCAAATGATAAAATTGTCAAAAAAGCTTCTATGGAATAGTGATAAAATTATTTCAAACAATGTGGCATAATAAATACATATGCGCTATTAACCAAGCGTGAGGTCAGGATAGCTGAAAAAAACTTGCCCAGTTGAGTTGCCAACTAGAACACATGATGCAATTCATCTTGCCCACAAGTGATACAAGCCATATGATAAATGTCACATATCAAATTATTAGAGAGGAATGAGAAATTGATAAATAAAGACATTAAAAAAGGGTCAACAACACAATACATTAAGTGCAGTCACCCATCCACAAGGCCTAACAAGTATGTAACCAATTTCCATATGAATCAATATAATGACATTTAAGCAAATTTTTAATGTGGTCTGCCACAAGCATCCCACATAATGAACCACAAATATAATCCTCACACCAATTCTAAGCTTACGACAACCCCAGAAATCTTCCTTTCTTGCTTAAACTTCTCTACAATTAATTCCCATTGAAACAATTATTTCTAATGGTCTAAATCCTAGAGGGTAGGGAAGTTTTTTAAAAATTATTGTAATCAGCTTTGTTATCAAATTTTAATCAGAAGCCTGGAGAACTACTCCGAGATTATATTTATTATCAATTTCAAAAGTTCATGATGTTTTTAATTGGTTGCTACTATTTCTTTTCCTTTTAATTTCACCTTACAAAACAAATAAGCTTCTATGTATTTTCAATCAATTCCAAAAAGTACCCGTACCCTTCCCCCCCCCAGAAAAAAAATACCAAAAAATTCTCAAATTGAATGTATGTAACTGTAGTTTGGTCATGATCAGCCAAAATATAGAGCAAAAATCTTAAGAAAAACTCCCACTTTTTATGTGTTTTAACTCTGTATTCTCTATTTACCAATTAGGTAGGGGAACTCATAAAGTTATCTTTTATTGGATGAAAGGGTTACATGCAAATATTAAACTTACCAGCAGTCACCCAGAACTCCTTGCATGATGTCATCAGGCCTAGGATTACGGAATACAGCCAAAGGAATTGATGTTGTACCATGCCCTCCTCTAAATGCATTGATGTTTTCAGGTCGTCGCCAATCTGTCACACGAGGGTGTTCAGAATGGCGTGGCTCAAAGTATAGAGACTTATCAGTGGGTGGGAAGGAGTCATCAACAAATTCAATTTTGGTCTGAAAAGTTAATATGAACAAATAATAATAACAATTAAATTTTGGACACACAGTAACTTCTTAGTTAAATAGGAGAGAAAGAGAAAACTGTTTCTGTTCGAATGTGCAGCATCCACCTGCATCCAAGCAATACTGTTATTGAGACTAAGAGATCTAACTTTCCCTAGTGCTATATGTCATTAATACTAGTAAGCTTTACACACTTTAATGTGCTCATTAGCTAAAGCAAGGCAGAGGTTAAAAGTAAGAAGATTCTGCACCAGAGTCCTACCAATATTTGAAGGCAAGCTAGTTTGTTGTATTGTGACTTTCATATGTTTATCTGTTAAGTTTTTGGTAAAGAGTGGTTCATATGCGTTCTTTGAGACCCCCTTCCTATGTAGACACCCCTATTGTCAATTACAGTTACACATACACGTTTACAATACTGCACAATATTGATCCATTGTTCTTTAGCTTGTTTCTCATCCCGAATTCTCCTGGACTCAGAATTAATACTCTGTTGACGCTGCATTGCTTTCCTTGGACTAGCCGTGGGTGATGCCTGTTGGATCTCTCCATCATCTACAGCAAGATCATTTTTGGCACCACAAGCACTGCACACCGCAGTGTTAATTGGGTTAACCAGAGTGCATGCTGTGCATGACCAACCAGAATCTATCACACCAGGACCTTCAAAGGGAATTTATACACATGAATTTAACATTTGTTACCATCACTTACAAAAATGAAAAAAAAATTTATCAAATAAATCAAAGTCAATGTTTTGGAACAAAACAATAACTGATTAAGAGTTGTTGTGATAACAACAACCCCAAAAAGTTACTTAGCTGACTACATCAAACAGGGAAAGTTACATGTAACTGTTGTTAAGGTTTAATGATTGAATCTAATTCCTTTGAGTCTGTATGCCAGTTACTTCTGGAGCTTATCCCCACAGGGACACCATGCGTGACTTTCAGTTCATTCTTTAAAGTGACTGGTAACACCAATAGCATATTCTTGGTTTGTGGGTTCTCCCTTTCTGATCCTGCTTAAATTTTTTTTATACCTTATTTCTGTTGTAAATTCAGGGTGTGCTGATACTAGATCAACATTGATAGTAAACATTTTTTTAAAATAAGAATTGATGTCTCTGTCAGATAGCAAGTTAAAAGATCCCATTGTTAGTTAAACATGTGGTTTTGTTCTCCTTACTGGCATTGAAACTGTTTTCCTGAAAAGTTTCAAAATTTATATGTAAGATTCAAAATTGAAGGCTTTTGGACACTGAAGATTTGTCCACTTCGGCCAAAATTTGTCAAGCCACAACAAACCATTTTCACTAGTAAAATGTTGGTAATGACAGAAAAATTTGCTTTAATAAACAACCTTTTTTGCTAGTGCTGAAAAGTCCTAGGTGAGTATTTGATTGATTGATTGATGGATTGATTGACAGGCATATTTCATTCCTTCCAGGCAAGGGTCTGAGTACATTAATAGAATGGTATTAAATCTTCCTTTCAAGAAGCTATGGGAACAAAATAGTCATTTCGCCCTTAGTACCTGTTGAATCAGTATCTCCTCTCAAAGTGCTGGGTTTAGCCTCAACTCTACGATCACTTCCGCAAACTGCACAAACTGAATTAGAACCTTCGTTGACAAACGTACACTGGGAACAACCCCAGTTGTCTGTAAGAGGGCCTTTAGAAACTGAAGGAATGGAAGATTTAGGGAATGGTCGTGGTTTAAAACCCTCTTCCGGGCAAGGTGAATGGCAAACTGTACAGTGAACTCCGACATTGTCATATAACAAACTTTGGCAATTAGGACATTTCAAACCTTCTGAACTTTGCTGAGCAATAGCTGGATGTAATTCAAGCGACAGATTGGGATAAATTCTTTGACTTGAAGAGGTCCCTTCACTTTCTGAAGCTTTCACAGAATTGGAAACAACGATAGAAGGTTCGAACTGGCAAGCAGAACAGACAGATCTATTCCACGGATTCGTTAAAGTGCATTGAGGGCATGTCCATTGTTTACCATTGCTATCAGCATTTCGAGCAACCCCCTTATCCGATCCACAGCTATTACAAAGAACTAAAGTTTGTGGATTACGAGAGCCACAAACTCGACAAGTCCATGTCGCGGTGGATTGTTTACGATGGCCACAAGCGGAGCAGGTGGAATTTCTGCCTGGGTTTATCAAGGTGCACTGCTTACATGTCCACTGTTGTTCCAAAGAAAACTTCGCTCCCATCTCTTCCATTTGTGGGTTTAACGCAATCTAAACTACACGATCGATCACAAATATGAACTACACATCATCACGAAGACTTGTATTTGATATCACAAACTACATACACGGTAAATCTACCTAAAAATTTTATGTGTTTTCTATAAATAGCACTAACAGAGCTTGGTCAGCAGTGATTGGGTCAGGAGCTAAAATTTTTCCCGAGTGGGGTACCGTCGGGTATTTGTCTTGGCCGATTTGTTTAACTTACGGAAAAAATCAAAAAGGGATTTAATGTGTATTACCTGTTTTTTTCTTTCTTTTTTCTAGGTGGAGTGGTTAGTTTCCAATTTTAGATAAGTGTTACCGAACGAATCAAGAGGCCACAAACGAATTTTTTCACCTTCTCCCATGCAATATTTTTGTAACAACTGAAAACGAGGCTTACTTTTACCGGAAGTCAGTATGGCAGGTTATATTTTTCCATCACTCTTGTTCTACTCTTTCGGTTTCCTACTAGAGGGGATTCCACGCGGCAGTTCTGAGCCTTCAATTGACTTTCAGGTGACTCTGTGGAAGCAAGGTAAATAACTTGATTTGATTCAAATCTCCCTTGACAATCCTTGCCTGACTGCACTTGTTAACCCTCCTGACAGGTCGTCCGTCTCGAAACAGTTACCCCAAGTTATTTCCCTTTTCCATTTTCGAAATTTGTCATCAGTTTTAAAATTTAACCCTGTCAACCCAAAGCTACCAATCTTTCCCATTTCTGTTTTTCTTTTCCATATTTCGCACTGAGTTTTGCTCGAAACCAAAACCGCTCATGATCTATCAGTTGGCCTCACAAAGATTCAATGTTCCTGAATTCAGGTTTTTTGAAAGTACATTTTCTCAGCCCTTTAGTACTTTTGATTCGATCATATTTTGAACTCTCTGTACCTTTTCGTGGAGTCTCTTAAAGGTAAATTTCCTGAAGAGCACAAACATGTTGCGTGACACGATGAGACTTAACAGGGCTGGTAAGAGTCATGACATGACAGTCATGTGATCACTCCCACCGATCATCTCGTTTGGGCCAAAGCAGCCCAGCAAATATTTACTTAGCCTAATAGCAGGGAGCGATGCGAGCATAGGAGAGCTTTGCGAGGGCTGGGTTCGCGAACACATCTGCGCATGTGCAAACGTTGCAACGACCATATAAAGGAAGGATAACGCTATCTAACTGATGAATCGCTATCCGGCGGATGTATGCTAACAAACGTACTGCGCTATAGAGATTTGTGCAGAGGATAGGGATATCCATACTACGAACAAGTGGAGACAGGTTGGTGTTTTCAGACTGATGGAACCAAATTGTCTCATATGAGCGAAAAACAATAACACAAGCTGGAAAGTCACAGTGATTGAAAAGCGTATACCCTTTCTGGTCAGGCTCACAACAAGTCAGTAAGTCAATAGGATAACTGTACTTGAATAAGCTTTGAGTTCAAAAAAGTATCAAGTTTTCCTTCTTCCAGCTTTTTTTTACTTTTACGCATTCCTTGAATGTTTCAATTTTTCTCGCGTGACAGAAGAAAAATATAGTAGAACGAAGGATAGAATTTTTCGTAGCGTGACTCCTCACTCGCGTACAACACCTCATATCGCAATCATGCTTCCTCTCGAGCGCCTGCTGCGCACACTCAGACGCTGTTATCAAGCATCGAAGGGAACGACATTATAACCAGGCTTATATTCTGTATCAATTACGTAAACACAGATTATTTATATCTATTTGTTTTGCTCTGATAAACCTCAATCGTTGAGGTTTGTTGTGGATTTTATTCTCTCTAATCCAAGTGGTTATTTATTTCATACATACTGAGGTCTATACTGTGAAGTACTATCGTTCGTGTCTCTGATTGAAAGAGTCGTTTACTTTCCATCTTTGCCTGTCAGTTTGAGAAAAATATCAGTATGTTTGAAGTAAAAACATCATACCATGTAAAAGTGCTTGAATTTATTCACTCGTCGATAGATCGAAAAACTCACTTGTTCGTTATTTTGATGCATTGACACTTTTATGAAAATCGTTCGTGCGCACTTTCCATGGAATAATCTCTATTTTTCTACAGTGGAATTCACTACTGACAAATCTCAAAGACTTTATCGTGCTTGCATGAACCCTTTTTCGTTCTGATTTCAGGCGATCTTGGGGTGAACACGTATCGTATTCCCATTCTGAAATCTCTGCCTGATGGATCCCTCATCGCGTTATCTGAGGGAAGGAAGTACAACTCTGCAGACGTGGGACCAAAATTCCTGGCAATGCGCCGTTCAACTGATCAAGGATTGACATGGAGTAACACAACGTTCATTGAGGATGATGGTGAAGACCCTGATGGCCTCAATCTCGGCACCGTTTTTGTAGACGAAGAGAAAAATCGAGTTTTTGTCATATATTCCCATTGCGCGACCAAATGTGTTTATCACACCACGTTTCTGATCAGCAGTGATGATTTTGGGCTGACTTGGACAAACCCATCAAACCTGTCGAATCAGATTGGATCGTCTGTGTTTCTACCAGGACCGGGTTTTGGTATTCAGGTATTACCTAGTCGAGTCAGTTTATATTACTAAATTACCCTTGCCACATCTTATTATTGTCTAACACTTGAGCTCTCATTTAGAAAAAGAAAGATCCTCACAAGGGACGGCTTATCACGTGTGGTCATTCTCATCCTGGTCATGATGGTGTCTTCTGCATTGTTGGCGACGGTAAGCACGGTAGTTAAAATTGCATGTTCAATTGCATGCATAAATTGTATGTTCTTTGATTGGTGAAGAAAACTCGTGTCACTCTCTTATCCAGTCAGATGCAAAACCAAATCAATGACGACTTGGTAATTGGTTATTATTTGGTCTTTCTGATATGGCACGTGGTTGCGGCAGATGGCTTGTAGTTTCATCGAGATGCAATGGAAATTAAAACAAATTGATCTGATTTTTATATTTGGATCCAGTCAATTTATCGTTATATCAAAAAAACTCAAGTAACTGACCACATTGACTTAAACTAAAATATTTTTGGAATGAAGGAATGACTAAATCACAGACTGAGATAATAGTCATAATAGTGGATTGAATGAATCACAGACAAACTGGTTGAATCATCTTAGTTTCAAACGTCAATTTAGCGGCATTCCCCTCCCTTTTCTTCAAATTCTCGTTGTGTTCGCCACGATACGCGGTCGATTTTGCTGTTTATTCTTATTACTCATCTCTATTTCAGATCATGGAACAAGCTGGAGGGTTGCCGGGTATATTCTTCAGCAAGGTTCATTTGAGCCGGATGAATCTCAGGTATGACAGCAATCTCCGCTTACCTTTGGCTCCAAGGCGCGTTTTTGAGGTGATTGACAATGATTATGCATTCTCCCTTCTCGACAGCTTATAGAGCTTTACGACGGAAACCTACTGATGACTTCAAGAAACCAAGATAATTTCCATTGCCATTGTCGCATCATGTCCAAGAGTTACGATGGCGGGGAATCATTTGCGCATTCTGACATCTACTTCGATGAAGCGTTGTTAGACCCAGTAGTTGCTGCCAGCTTACTTCGTTACAGGAACACGGTTTACTTTTCGAATCCGGCCAGTAAGCTTTTCCGAATTAATATGACCGTCCGCTGGAGTGAGGACAATGGCGAATCATGGGTGGGGTCCCTCGGAGTGTGGAAGGGTCCAAGTGGGTACTCCTGCCTGACTACCATCCCTGGAACGCAAGCAAACAACACCTTCATTGGCATGGTGTTTGAAAAAGGAGTTACTCGCTACTATGAGAGCGTAGCCTTTGTTAGATTACGGTTGTGAAACACTGATTGAACAATTACATCAGCACCTTGACATTTTTTTTTTTTTTGGAATTTTTTTCAGGGTCGCACTCCTAGTATCAATTATAAAATTTCATGACGACATTATCTCTGTGATTTTTTTTTCAACCTAAGGCTAAGAGGTTGGTTTCGAAATTAATTAAAATGATTCTGTCATCGAGACCATTTTAAAACCTTGTGGCGTAACTCGCAGTTAAGCCCCATTCCTCGAAACCAATTTTGTAGCTCATCAAGGCAAGGAAATATTGTTTTGACCATCTGATCGTGCGTTTGTGGTTCTGTTAGTGTGTGCGTCCGTAGAAGATGCAAAGGAAGATTGACGAGTTTCGCAATGATATACTTTATACAAAAAAAGGAAACGTGAAGCAACTGGTGGATTAGTTGTGATAACTAGGGAGTATCATTTAGCCGACTGGAACAAGTCGACTTTTTTAAGTGCGACGATTATCACAAGGTGCTTCCCCACAGCCCGTGCCAACCAGATACTTGCTGGGCGCGACGAGGCCACACGTCCCATTCGTTAAACTGGAAATACTGGTAAGGTCTACGATAGCTTTGATACCGGGGTCGTTCTTGCTTGCCAATCATGACGAATGGTGTTCTGTAAATTAGTTCCCTAATGCAAATGTTAGCTAGTCTATTGCAAACGCTTTGTTAAACACAGAGTAGGACTTTTCTTTTGTTGACGGTTTTGAAAGCCTTCAGGGTTCTCTTACAAAACTTATGATTCCATCGTTGACTTTTGATTCTAATACATTCAGTCAAGTATGTCTACGTCATTGATGCATCTCTCAAGCCTAATACTCTTTTCCCGTATCCTATTTCACTTACTCGGCAATCTATGATGTTGCCGCTCCGGCATGGTCTGTCATTACTGACCGATTTGAGGAACTTAGGGATGGAAGTTCTGTCCGTGGAAAGTGAAAGACCTAAGTGCCAAGGGAATTTTCTGCCCACTTTTCCGTGTTCCGTACTCTGTCTACCGTTCTGATAATTACTTCAGTAATTATCCGCTATAGCCGATGAGGCTATTTCGTCGTGTGTAACCGTAGGTGTAATCCGAGAAAATCATTTGAAACGGCTGGAAATGTGGATAAATGAAACTACATCCGCCATCTCATTTCCTGAGGAAAATCGCCTGATTATCGATCGTGCTCATTCTCTCGTTTGATTTCATGGTCTGGCATGCAATACGTGCGGGTATCACTGACGAAGTTTGCTCATTGAGGGGGTTAGAATAACAGTACGAGCAATGAAAGAAATTTGTCACCTACACTGAATGGAATATTAAAATCATGTATAATTACATGTATGTAGTGAAATATACATATGAGACCAACCGTAAAAGGGTTTTAGACTAATGCATTTTTTTAACGGCTCAAATTGAAATAGCAAAAAACCTCGATGCATCAACATTTTATCTCATTTAAATGAGATTTTCAGACAGAGATGCATTGAAAACTTTATTATTCGATAAGTCATTCGAAACCGTCGTATCCCTCTCTTGGATTTCTGTTGCAACCACAACGACAAATGAATTGGCCTTTTCCTTCCCATGGCATTTGCAGGAAAGTGGTAAAAAATCGAACTTTGTGACTTTGTGCCTAACCATGGCAAATTCTTTCTCTGCGTCTCCCATATCTGCAATTGTACATGTTGTTAGCAAGGTGCTTTTAGTATGCATTCATGAGTTTGCATCACCTTTTGTAGATTTTCTTCCCTGATTTCTCCATCCATAGATGATAAAGAGAATATGCAATCAGTCTGTCGAAAGTTTTCTCTTATTACCATAATATCCTCCGGCCAATATTCTTTCTCTTGATTTAATCAATCTTTGGACGATAATTTCTCTCATAACTTATTTACTCATCTTCATTATTGTAAAATGTGTAGAAAATGGCCCTATCATTCTTATTGTCTCAATTTTGTTCAATACTCAGTTTTGACTTATTTAAATCAAGAGTGCCTCGGGGTCAATTTTGGGGCCATTCCTCTTTTCACTTAGTATAAACGATATTGTCAAAGGTACAAATTACTTTCCTGTAAGAATTTTTGCAGATGACACTTCTTTACAACAACGGGCTGAGATTTAGATGCTTGATTTTTCGAATAAATCTAAATAACCACCAATTTTAATTTAGTCACTATGAACAGCTAAGCTCAAACAAGTTAACCCTGAAATTTAGTGAAACAATTGAAAATATTTAGTTTTACCAAAAATTACAAAAATACACCAAGAAGATATCCAACCTAATTCCAGGAAGAAATAAAAGAAAGATCAGTATTGGGCCGAAAGGGTCAAGGCTGAGAATTTAACAAATAGAGAAGCCTTGACTGTGCTAAGTTCTAGTGTAAAGCATGCCGGAAGCGGCTAGAGCACGAAAGAAGAGAAGAGAGAAACACGAGACGTAGTCGAGTGTTTTCCCCACTTTTTGAAAGTCTGTAGTGTGACCACAGCTATTGAGATCAAATGTTGAAATCTATGCTGGCGTTATATATTTCACAGCCCCGTACTTAACCCCTCATAAAGGAGCGTTTCATGGACGTGAACAGCTGCCGTAGACATGTCATCATCTACTGCGAAACTAATGGAACTTTGTGCATCGAAATCATTTAAATAAAATTGGTGTCATTATTGTCCCCCTTAGTACTGCGTTCTTATCACCTGTAATAGTTCTAAGTAGATCAGCCCCGCCTTTTGATGATCTATGTTTTACTATAGAAGTAATTCTGACAGCTTGAAGGAGATTTTCTCATGTAGCTTACAATTTGTGATAAAATGCCAACTGACAAAGGTGTACAACAACATAGGGGCTTTATATACTTTTTAGGTGCATGGTCTTGCGTAATTTTGGTATCCAAGAAGTTGCTGCCGTAGCTTCAGCGACTGGGACAAACCATCACACGTCGACAGCTATCGTGCTTGTCTTCAATAAATTTTCATCAATTAAACTTTGATCAGTCAGTAATTAAACAGTGTTCATTTCTTTTTTACGGTTACTGGTAGGCCAGCAGCCATATTGTGGTCATGTCGTTAGTAGATAAGTGAGTGACTTTTCGTGAAGCGAGTGTTACTTTATAGCGTCTATTCAGCAATTTAAGGCTGATTAACAGGCGCGAAGCAAATGCAAATGCAAATGCGAGGATTTTCATTTTCTTGAACTTGCACTTGCGTTTGCATTCGCTTACCACACGTATGGACCGGGCAACGCAAACGCAAATGCAAAACCTGGGCGAAAACACAGGTTCCACAGGTTCCATGCTAACATGGTACAGTTAAAAACAAGATGGCTTCGACGTCTTCCGCCTTTTCGGAAGAAAAACTTGCCTTGGGCGTGAGGAAATTTCCCGTATTTTTTGACAAAATTTTTCGATAATTTAAACACAAATCAAAGAAGAGTCTTTCTTGGAAAGATGTGGCCAGAGAAGCGGGCATAAAAGACAGTCTGTTTTACGAAAGAATGTGTTGTATCCGAGTAATAATGACAAATGCATGAACAGCGAAACACAACTTCGTTTATTTCTGCCCTTAGTTGCACATGCCAACTTCAGGGGAGCAATGTTCATCAGACTCAACCAGATGGAACTCATCCGAAGCCGCTGCAGCAGGGACTGGAGTAAATTGAATTTCTAAATCAGGAACAATCTCGCTTGGCTGGTACACATTGGGCGTAATCCGATTTGGCACAAATTGGTGCTGAATTACTGGAGGTTTGACTGGTGAAATATCACTCGCAGGTGGGCAAAGCAGTTGGTCCATGTGTAGTTCCCAAAGGTTACCCTACACCTAAACCATACAATGTCGTGAACAAACGACTTCAGTCACAACTCCAGGCACCCACTTCTCTCCCTTACCACAATTACGTGCTAAAACCGGATTACCTGCACTGAGCTGACGCAGGCCTCTCTTTGTGGTGCGATTCACCTTGGAAGTGTACCGGCGAGCTTCAACATGTTTTTCAATTGAAGGGATCAGTAAATCTAGACAAGTACTTGGCCGTCGTCCCATAACTGGCAAAGCATGAGGTTCGTCCGTAGTAGAGTGTGGGTAGTATATCAAATGGAAGGAAAATGATATACAATTTTTGCAACTCTTTACAAACCAGCGCTATAATGGATAAAAAATTGTTTGCACAGGCTTAAACATCTTGATTTTGTACAAATAAATTTTGCGATTTCAAAATGGATGAAATTTGAGTTCCTCTCCCAGCAGAATCCTCATAGGCTGCAACCACAGTCTAAAATAGGCAAAATTGTGTTTATAAATCTTTAATAAAACGGCAAAGAAAAAGGCTTTCGAGTTAACCAGGAGGGCCAATGTTCTTCGGTATAAATTTATCTCAATCCATATTTTTAATTACGTTATCGCTTTGGGAAAGAAACTGCAGCTCCAATTTTAACTTAAAAGTTCCTGTTAGTCAGTAAATCAGCTCGAGATGATCAGAACGCTAGCGGGCGTAGTTCAGAGTAAATTCCAAAAACCTTTATCTCATCTTTGCCTGAAGGTTGTCATTGTGCAAGATTGAAATACTGCATCCACTGAATATCCAGGTGCAAAGCCAATGAAAAGCTATGTTAGATACAACTGTCAAGTATTCAGACAGTGCAAACAGAGTATACACTGCAGTGAGAAACACATGTTAAGGAAAAGGTTGATGTTTCTCAACAAAGTGGTTTTATGTTATAATTATTTATTGCTAAATTAGTCAGCCTTTATTTTATGCTCTTGTCGGATATCTGTGATATTCTGGTTGGTTTCATAAAAGTTACGAAATTTCCATGAACAAATAAGGTGACTTATTTACATTCCTTTTAAATAATAGTATCCATACAGCCATTTAAGAAAAGAGGGAGGGGTTAGTCTTAGAGGCCTAGTGGGCTAGTAAATGTTGATGCCCATCCCTGGTTTTGGTGGCGTTAATGGTAAATAGGTAAGTTAGGTAAAGTTTGTTCTTGAGCCAAGTGTCCCATCTAGTCGGAGCTTACTACCACCATCTGGATGGGATGCCTGTCCATTGTAGGTTACTCCCCAGCATTTTATCAGGATTCCCTGACAGTTCACTAGTACCCATTCATACTCCTGGGTGGAGAAAGGCACTGTGAGAATAAAGTGTTTTGCTGAAGAGCACAACACATTGACCAGGGGGCCCGGTCTCGATCCTAAACCTCTCAACCCAGAATCCTGTGCACTAACCACTAGGCCACCACGTCTCCCAAGTATATAAATAGGAGTATGTCATTAAAACTCCTCCTGAATGGGATGCCAATCCTTTTCAGATTATCCCATTCCACGGAAGTTTGCTAGTATCAGTTTCACACTCTTAAGTGGAGAGGTGGAGAGCGGCGGCGTGAAAGTTAGGTGTCTCGCCCAAGAACACTGTACCATGCTCAGGCCAGAGCTCAGCCCTTTCCTCCTGATCTAAAGTCCAGCATGCTTAGCACTCATTTGATGCGTCGCTCAAGGCCTAAACCCATCGAAAAGCACTCTATAAGCTCAGACAAGTACCAGCTTCACAGGTAACCTCGATTCTTTCCCTCTTACAAAGACTGAAAACGCCAAAATAAATAAAATGTAATTTTCTACCCGATTTACAGAATAAAAGCAGAGAGGCAAAGTATATTTTGTAAGCCCAATTACCCAAGTGAAGCGTGAAAAGATCAAACTTATCTACCTTAAGCCTTGAACTCAAAAACTGTGTGTCCTTAATAAGTCCCATACACTCTATCCACCATCGAGGTTGCTTTCAGCCTTCTCCATAAACAATTTAACAATTAATCTCGGGTTGTATTGTTTACAAAGTTTTCTACCAATACTGCTTTTTACTGTCTGAGTATCCGCAACTATAAACTACTGCATTTCATTGAAACCGTTTTGTAAAGGATACTGTAGGGTTCACAATACCAGTTGTGCCTCAGATAAAAATACACAGCTAAACCAAAAGAACAACAGTTGAAGGACATAGTACCCACTTTTCTTTTAAATAATTTGTATTCCTGTGACAGAAAGATAATTTGCAATTATTTACATCATAGATTTAAATATACTACACTATTTTTCCATCATACTTTCAATATAAGTTTAATCTTTAACCAACCATTTTGTCCCTCGCTGATTTTTCTCACGTATAAGCAGACACTTATAAAGAACCTTCACATACATGTACATATTTGTAGCTGTGAAAGGAGGAACTGACCCTTCTCTTTCTCACTAACTTTGTTACGTGGATGGCAAGCAGAAGTCAAGAGTTCTCTGCAATGCTTACTATGGCCTGGAGAGCAGGTAAGAGGGTACATGTGCAGGTAAGAGGGTACATGCGTGAATGCAGAGGGAGTGTCGCCGAATGCTTTTTTGCAATTCTTACGTTCATCGTTACCAAGTTTCTGTTATGCATGTTAAGGGCTTAGTTCACAGATCTTTTGTCTCTAGCATTTAGTGTAAGATGCTGAAACAAGGGCTTCCTAACAGACAGGCGATATTAATGTGAGTGAGACATTAGCCGTTTTATTCTGCGTCTCGTTTCCACCCATGTCTCAAAAACAGGTGTGTTTAAGTTTCCTATTTGAAATTTGTTACTATCACTAAGCAACCTTGTTTCAGTATACTGACTAACTCATGACTGTACTTTAGCATGTCATAGAGAATTTAAAACGATTGAGTATCAAAAAATGAAATGGTAACCATTGCATCATTGTGAACAACAATTTATTGTTTGAATGAATGTAACTATGTACCTCATCAGTCATTGGTTGTGTCGCAGTCAACCGGAATAAAATACAAGTCAAAAGCATAAATAATATTGCAGATGCCATAAAAACAATAAATGACCCTTCATGGACATCTGGAGAAATAGAAAGTAAGTGAGGTGAAAATTGTGACACAAATATAATTGAATTAAGAGCCAGCATATAGTTGTAGAATCAGAAACAGCAATACTTGACACCATGTTAAATTTGAAAAATTATTCTAAAAGTGCCCAACTACAATTTTCAGACTTTTTTTCTTAACTCTATGATTCTGATTTCTGAAAAAGAACTCTTAATTATTATTATTTGAGTCATAACCCAGAACTAATGGTAAATAAAACTTAAATGGACATCAAGTGTCCAGAAGACTTTTAAAAGTGAACAAAAAATCAAAGGGAGATTGAGGCCTAAGGTGCAACCATAACTTTGATCTGTCATGATAGCCCAAGTCTTCCTAACAATCTCAGTAATTCAAAATACGATACTTAAAAAAATTTTTAATTCAAGAATTTTAAAAGAATTGCGCCCATACCATGATGAGAACAATACAAACACATGAAATGTCATAAAGAAAAAATGTGATAAAAATAAAACACTTTATCAATTCAATTACTCACCAAAATTATCAGTTGAAGAAATGTAGGTTAAAGTTAAGAGAGCTCCATTTTCCACTAGATGCAAAGCACCATTTACGAAATTGAGCAAACTAAACCACCAAGTTGTAGAGCTGTATTTCCTGCCCAACTGAGTATTTTTGTAATGTTTATGAAGTGAATAAGGCATGATAAGAATTCGTGGTAGACAGTGCAAAGCTATTCCAACTCTCCATATAAACCTCTCAGGCATGTTCCCTCCAATAGCGGCACTTATTGAAGGTAAAAAGTTTGGTACCTATAAGGAAATAAAAAGAAGTAGCCATTCAAATTTGAGACAGTTCAGAGCACAATACTTTATTTAAATTACAAGAAATTTCATTATACAGGGCCGGTTGTTTACACGAGATCTGGGCCAACAAGTCTCATCTTGTTGCTGTTTGGGTGACATAAAACACAAGAACAAAATGAAGTAAGATGCCAGCCAGAGGAGACTGGTAAAGACTATCACACAACCAGAAAACTTGACTGAGCTCCTGTCATTTTGTTGCATTGTGCTCATTTGATCAATTGAAAATCGCAAGTGTCTACAACTAATAAATATTACGGAAATGAACTGTAAAAAAGGGAATCCAAAACGTTGAACAAACAAAATAACATTTTGGATGTAGTGGTTAAAAGAGTTTGAATGGCTTCAAACTGCATCTCTGATGTTAAAGGATTGTGCTAAATCTGGAAAGTAAAACTCAGACAAGCCTGGATGTGGAAATTCAAATGATCGACATTTTTGTCTCACGTTAAGTGGTTGGATCACATACAAACAGCACCATTCTACAAAGTGCTTTCTTTCATTATGATACATAAGTTAACATTTTATTTATTGACGTAATTTGGCAGTGAGTCAATTTGGCACGAAATTAAATTTAGACTTCATATCAGAGAATTATGTCGTGTAAAGGCAATTCATCGCTTTTAATTAAGAACAACCGGCCCTCGTTTTGCCTTGGTCCTTCTTGCTACAAAAAAATGGAGTTGTTGAAGATTATGGAGTAGTGAATGCCTTATAAATGAGATATTTCGTTGGCTATTGGTTTGACGTAACTTCTTTAGGGGGAAAAATATTATCTAGAACTTCTTGAAAGGCGTCCATGATTCAGCTTACGATATAATCAACAAACTGATTCCGCACGGTAATTACACGACGGTGCAATAAGTGATTATCGTGGTCTACAATGGACTTACTAAACACAGAACCAAATTACGCCATTCGTTAACGGCTTAAACTTTGACAGTTGTTTTAACAGTGAAAGCAAATCACGCTGTTAGTAGTCTTACTAAACGGCTTAAAATGCGACACTATGTGTAAGAGTGAATGCAAATTACGCCGTTAGTTACGTATGTATGTTTGTATGTTTGTATGTATGTATAAAATTATGCCTTTAATTAACGGCTTAAAATGTTGTAGTAAGGATGAGAGGAAACCATATCACTCTGTTACGCTGTGTTAGCGGGGTAATGTATGTAACAAGTAATTTGTCGAAATTTGGTTGGATCAACTGAGTTGATCCGGTAAAATGGCCACCGTAAGAAACACAAGCTGACAAGCGATAACAAATTACAGTTATTACGTAGAGTAACAGCACAGAAAACGCACGTGTCCAGCAAGATTTCCTCGAGTTCTGTACTCCATTTGACGAGCATAGAAAACAAACACGTCAAGTAAAATTGCCTCTAGTCGCGCACTCTATTGGGCGAGAGCTATTAAGATTGACCTCAAGTCTCACACGCTGTTCAGACTCGATACAGACACGAGATTTGTGGATTTTCTTTCCTATTCAAAACTCTCTCTCTGAGAAGAATGAATTCCAGTCTCGCACTGAATAATGTTTGAGTTTTTTGCAATGTATTAGCCCATGGCCCAGAGAAAAAGACAAGATTAGTGAGATAAGATCAAGATGGCGGTTTAAATAATCTGCCAAAACTTTAACCTCATGTACAAATCCAAATATGGAAAAGTGGTCGCGTGACATTGGGTACAAGAAAAAACCCAAATGGAGAGATTTAAGAGTGATTGTCAGTAAAAATTAAAGAAATCGTGGCCACGGTCAAAAAATCGATTTCGCTCATACTTTGTCAGTTTGAAGGCCTAGGTAAGTAACTGAAGGATATGAGGTTAGTTTTTTGAAATATTCCATATAACGGCAGAAAACCACGAAAAACGGTCACCCTACCGGAAGCTCGGATTTCACCTGGCGGAAACTCGAAATTTTACACTTTTCAGCTTCTCGCTACACAGACGTTTACATAGCTGTGAATCTTTCTTAAGTATAATTGAATACATTGATTCTTCCTTAGTCAAACCATGGGAATTATTTTTATCTCTGCTTATTTGTGAGCGAACTGAGACCCGATTAAGAAGACACACTTTTCTCATTTACGCGAAGGTGTAAAATAATCCAAACTCAGCGACGAAAAAAAGCTGACCGGTAGTTCTTCAAATCCTCTGATATTATAACCAAAAGACAGCTCAGTCATTGATTTTTAGGTCTACGGTTTTAAATCTTTAGGATCTAGTAGCACTTTTGCATGAACGCCGATCAAAATTCGATAAAATTCCAATTGAGCGCCTTTGAAATCTACAACTCTACATAACAATGCACTATTGAATAAATTAACTCCTCGGCCAAAGTTTGTACATAAAACATGAGGGTTTTACTTTCTTAGCGGTTTGAACCTTTTAAAAATATATATTGATGTTAAATATTGTCTACACAGGTAAAACAAACTATGAAACACCAAAATTACCACGAGCTGAAATTAAATCTCACAGGCTCGCTCCCTAATCTGTGTCACGCACGAGCGACTTCGCTACAATTAGTACAGTAACAAACAGATATTTACATCTGTTAATTTACAATAAGTCGTATTTTTAAAATGTCTTACTCGACGATGTGCCAGGTTCCCCAGTTAACTTGCTGAAGTAAAAATAAAAGAAAATATCATAATAGCAATTCAAACTGAAACGATAAGAATTGATTTTATTAAGAATAAGAAGCTTTATGCCGTCGATAGCCAATCAGAAGTACCTGTTCTCACGAAAATTGCATCGTTCTTTAAATAAATAAATCGAATTATCTTTATCTGTGAAACATTGCATCTAAAACCAGAGTTTATTGTCGGGGAACTTCATAGAACAGCGATGTCTTGCTCGTTCTTGAATATTGTTGGTGGGATTTGCGGCGCAGACGAACGCACAAGTTCTTCAACTTCCGTCACGCCTCTCACGCGGTGTAACAGGGATATCAAAATTCACAAAAAGTCGTTGAAATTTTCCGGAATTGAAACGGAGGTAGAATTAATTTTGGCGAGATGTGGATGTTTTCAAAAGCCGGCGAATTTATCGGATATGACTATCTGTCCGGTTCATCGTGCCAAGTTAGGTTTAGGTTGGCGAAGGACGGGTAATCTTTGCACCATCCCGGAAGTTGTTTCTGGTCACTGCAAGGAGCTGAGGAAGGCACCCGCACTGGAAAAAGGAATAAATTTATTCCAATCCATGAAGATATTTGAGCTTTCAAAACAGCTCGTCCCTGTGGGCTCAGGTAAGCAACCAACTACTTGATGTTCTACCAAACAGAAACTGTCTCCAATGAATTATTTATTATGGCCATATTGGAGTGATGCAACGACCGTAATTGTGCTATTAAACGTAAACATATAAATGTTGGTGTGACGTTTCCACTAGTATACTGTGCAAACTGTGCACTTTGTGGGTGGTTGGGGAGAGAGAGTAGTATGGTTGTTAAATCCTTTCCCCACCCCCCTCCCTCCTTTTTAAATGTCGTAAAAATGACAGTGCACATCATTTATTCTTCGGTGCCCTCTTTGGAAAATTCTTAGTATTTTTCATCGAATATTGTCTAAATTAAACTTTATTTTCTCTATCAATGACAGACTGTAGTGTTGTTTGACAAGCGCAATCAATAAAACATGCAAGTCGTAAAACTCATAGTGTTTTTAATAGTCGCATTGGACAACAGAATGAAGAGGATACAAAACTCATTGGAGACAGTTCCTGCTTGGTGGTACATTTTTTAGTTGTTATTTACCTGAGCCCATAGGGACGAGCTATTTTGAAAGGTCAAATATCTTCATGGATTGGAAAAAATATATTCCTATTCCAGTGCGGCTACTTTTCACAGCTCTTGCTGAGTGACCCGAAACAACTTCCTGTATGGTGCAAAAATTAATACTTTTGAACATGATGTATTTCTCAGTAAGTGACACAGGCATAATCGGAAAAAAAAATCCGAGTGCTTCATGGGACAAACATCCTGCATACTGCTAGGATTGGAATGTCATGTGTGGCATACGCGCAATGGAATAAATGTGATGGAATATTTTTAAGCCTGGTGAATAAATGAGAATGATGTATTATTCAGTAAGTGACACAGGCGTACTCGAAAAAAAGAAATCCGAGTGCTCTCGGCCATCAGGAGTCCAAACTATCGACATCGTGTCAGGTTATGCCTAAGTGACACGATGAGACGGTACGGGTAGTCATCTCCAATAAACTCGTTGGCTTTTAAAAACACGCAATCTTGCTAAAATCAATTCTGGCTCAAGTTCGGAGAGTTTTTTAGGACTTCGTGCGATGTTTTATATCCTTGTTACACAGCGTGAGCAGTGTGACGAAAGCTGAGTAAGGGTAGAAATTAGCCATTGGAAGTTACTTAGCAAGTGCGTTCGTCTGCGCCGCAAATCCCACCGACAATATTCAAGAACGAGCAAGACGTCGTTGTTATGTATGTCTATTAACTTCGCCAACAACATACTCTGGTTATATGATTAAGTAGATTTGTTTATTTAGAGAACGATGCAATATTTGCTTTTCGTGGAAACAGTTACTTCCGATTGGTTTTCGACGGCACAAAACTTCTCATACTAAATAAAATCAATTATTATTGAGCTAGAATTACCATTAAGGTTTTCTTTTTTTTTCAGCAAGTTAACTGGGAAACCTGGCACATCTTTGAGTAAGACATTTTAAAAATACGACTTATTTAAAATCAACGGATGTAAATATCTGTTTGTTACTGTACTAATTGTAGCTAAGTCGCTCGTGTGTGACGCAGATTAGGGAGCGAGCCTGTGAGATTTAATTTCAGCTCGTGGTAATTTTGGTGTTTCATAGTTTGTTTTACCTGTGTAGACAATATTTAACATTAATATATATTTTTAAAACGCTTCAAACCGCTAAAAAAGCAAAACCCTTATGTTTTATGTACAAACTTTGGCCGAGGAGTTAATTTATTCAATAGTGCTTTGTTATGTAGAGTTGTAGATTTCAAAGGCGCTCAATTGGAATTTTATCGAATTTTGATCGGCGTTCGTGCAAAAGTGCTACTAGATCCTAAAGATTTAAAACCGTAGACCTAAAAATCAATGACTGAGCTGTCTTTGGTTATAATATCAGAGGATTTGAAGAACTACCGGTCAGCTTTTTTCGTCGCTGAGTTTGGATTATTTTACACCTTCGCGTAAATGAGAAAAGTGTGTCTTCTTAATCGGGTCTCAGTTCGCTCACAAATAAGCAGAGATAAAAATAATTCCCATGGTTTGACTAAGGAAGAATCAATGTATTCAATTATACTTAAGAAAGATTCACAGCTATGTAAACGTCTGTGTAGCGAGAAGCTGAAAAGTGTAAAATTTCGAGTTTCCGCCAGGTGAAATCCGAGCTTCCGGTAGGGTGACCGTTTTTCGTGGTTTTCTGCCGTTATATGGAATATTTCAAAAAACTAACCTCATATCCTTCAGTTACTTACCTAGGCCTTCAAACTGACAAAGTATGAGCGCAATCGATTTTTTGACCGTGGCCACGTTTTTTGAATTTTCCTTGATTTTTACTGACATTTACTCTTAACATTGTTCGTCTGCTTATCTGACAGCTGCGAATTATGAAGCTTGGCTTGTTTGACATGACGTTACATGTTTTGAGGTTAAAGTTGAAATGGTTGAGCACTTATGATCGTCTCTTATTTTATTCGTGCAAAGCATTTATATCTTTATATAGGGATGTAGCGAAGATTTCTGCAACTTAAGCACCAAGTTACGAATGGTTCTGTCTCGTAATTGAAAATGTATGTAGATATTTTCATAAGCGCTTTTGATAATCGGCAATCGCAGATCGTTTTAACCAAAACAGGGTTTTCGTAACTTCTGTTTGTAATCACACACAATTATTGCTGTGTGATAACGTCGTAGTAGCTTAGTGATAGGTATCACGCATTCAATTTATCTTCCCTTTATTCCTACCACTTTCACAACCTGGCATTCTTAAAGCTCTACCGTCACTGAGATGATTAAAGAATTCGAAAATATTGTTTTGCCGAAACCGATCATATTTTAGAAATGATAGTAGGAAGTTACAGTCAACTAAAGAGATGAATTATTTCTTCAAAATTGGTGGAAGGGGAACAAAAATGACCCAATTGCAACTTAGCGAGGCGGATTTCTATTCGATTATCGAACGCAGTCACTGGGTGCTTTGATAGTCCTACTGCAGCCTATATTTTGGTCAAAAGTCACACCTAATGAAAACTGAAACAAAAGGCTTACACAGTTTTACAAAGCCGTAGCCTGCGTGACAACTCTTGATTAACCACATGGTTCTGTTTGCCAAATCAGTCATAATTTATGCGTCTTGCTCTTTTCGCCATGCTGCTCGATTCGGCATTTCACAAGATCCGTAGGACTCAATTTACGCAATGTTACATTCACAGATGTAAGCTTCTTGTAGGCTGTTTTGACTTTTGTAAAAAGAGTAACCTAAAGATTAGAAAAGAATTCAGCACCAAACGAAGTATGTCAACGAAAGGACAGCGTTAACAGCGAGAGCAATTCGATGAGGCCGTATCCTGCGTGACAAATAAATGGCTCCAACTGCATAATCAGTCATAATTTATGCATCGTGCTCTTTTAGGCACGGTGCTCTATTCGACATTTTACAAGCCATCTCCTTCCCAACATCTCACAAAACGATCTCAAAATGTTGCAAGGTAGTGCGTTGAAATGTTTCGTGCGTTTGACTGGGCCTGAATGTCATTAAATATATTCCAGAACCCGTGTTAGAGTGCTTCTGTTCAGAAATTGATCTCAGATGACGTTAAAATGTGGTAACAAAAACATATTCGATTCAGTGATCTATCAGTGAACGGACCCACAACATGGAAATCTATTTGTTTCATGTAAGAAGCGAAAAATGTGTTCATGGTGGCGTCATCTTAGCGTCCATCCTCTCATAGATCATAACAAAGAACCAGACAAAATATTAAATTCCCGTGTAATTCAGCTTGTTATAAAAATAGATCGAACACTTTCCTCTAACAGCCTTCAACATCGTTTCAGAAGACCTTTTCACCGCTTGTCTTAGCGGTTTTTATAGATGACTTCCCTTTATTTTTTAATGTCAAGCGTTTTCATTCAGAATCTTGCTTTATGAGCAGATATCAGCGTGACACTTTTTAAGTTGTTTCGGGCGAGAGTGTCTTTAAGCTTTGTTTCATGACTATGGCTATCGAGAGAACAGCTAGTAATAACGAACAAAATAATAAAAAAGCTGCCAAGAAAACGTCAAAAATTGCTTTAGAATAAAAGAGAAGAAAGAAGCAAGCGAACTTTGCTCAAATTCATAAATTATTGAATTAAACACAATTCAGCCTACCTTGCAGTGGGTCCTTGTAGTTTCATCAAAATGCCAAACCACAGCAATCAGCACACACAATGCAGTTGAAAAAAGCGGTAAAGAACAGATGAAAATGGCAAAGTGCTCTGCACATACGGAGATTAAAGGTTCTTGAGAATTAACCGAAGACATGGCAGTCACACTCTCTTCGAATATTTGAATACCGTTGAATAATTAAGTCAACAATCATCGTGTGACACTTTACTGCTCATATCACATAACACGCATAAATAAACCCCAAACGCACTCAACATTTCATTTCAACATCTTGCAACATTAATTGTTGCGCGCAACGTGTTGGACACGTTTGGCCACCCTGTTGCTAGGTTTTTGCACACTATGTTTTTATTTCCTCACTAAAATGCTCAGTCTCCAACCGAAAAAAGTCACTGAAATGCTCGGATGATGCTCATTAAAAAAACAAAATCTCGAGCCCAAGGTCATTTTGGCTTCTTGACAGCGGTATGGTCGCCAAATAATGACCTCTGGGAGAACGGATTAATTCAATTTTTTTGAGGAAAGACCAAATATCTACACGCCATTGCAAGAAACAAACAAGGGAACTCTCACAACCTCAAAACATGCATATGAATTTATTAACAATTACTTTCCTTGCCATTTAGTGACTGAGTAGAGATATTCTTCGGACATTAATCATCGATGGAAGTTGAATTTTACTTTCCGTAAGATCACCGAATGTCTTTGAAGAAAAAATTGTCGTGACAGTTGTTGAACTTGAGTTCGTTTGCCAGACCAGTGCTGGTATTTTTTTGGCAAGCATTTCACTGAGTCTTAGGAAAAAATAAAAATGTTATTCACCGGCCTAGGTCGGTTCGTATTGGGAAAAACTGTGCCCTCGAGCACAGTTTTTCCCAATATGAACCTCCCCGCCGGGATATTGATCCGTAACATGATTTCGGCCCAGCTAACTGAGCAATATTTAGTCGATGACAAAAGTCAAACCAGTAAGATCTATACAAAGATTTCCTCTTCATTGATAGAGGATCATGTTAATGTCCTTCAATTTCCTGTGCTTTAAAAATCGGTTTGGTTTTTACATCTGCAAAACACAACGAAGTACCCGTGCTAAGTCTCACGCGGAACAAATATGAATATCGAGCTGAATGATTTGAAGATGGCGATCAAAATACGGTTCGCAAGTGTGTGGCAGACTGTTGATGGTAAAGTTGTTAGTTTCGATTCCGCTTTCGAGGAAGCACTTAACTGTCTTTCGGAATTTGGTATGTTTCGCGCATTAAAATCGGAACAAAAAGAAGCAATTTCTTCACTGGTTTCCGGATAGGATCTGCTGGCCTTTTTGCCAACTGGCTTTGGGAAAAGTCTGACATTTCAGGTGTTAGTTCGTATGAAAGAAATTAGATGTGGAAACCTTCGAGCGTAGTTGTCGTTTGTCCGCCTCAACGTATTGAGTGTGATAAAATGGAAGAAGTATCTTCGATCGAATTAACAGTTGCTTCTTTCACGGATTATCGTTTGGAGTGTGTAGAAAGCGGCATATATCAACTCGTGTATGCGTCAGCAGAGAAGTTTTTTGCGAAGCCGTTTCTTTCGTTGACAATAATAATAAAAAAAACAATAAACAGCCACACTGTTTCAACAGAATATGCCGGTTTGGATCAAACAAATCACAGCGGGTAAACCCTCCAAGGCAGTCGTTTGACGGCTGTACATTTTCTTTAAAAAAAAAAACAACAACCCTCGTCAATGCGGGTCACATTTTACCATCAAACAAAAGAATCTTTCATAATTTCACCCCTTCGATACGGTTTAAGAAACCAGTACACTTCAACGCATTTGTGGCGGTTTACTAGCTGATTTTAAAAATGTTTTATGTGTTGAGTGAAGTGTTAACTGTTTTCTTAATAACTTCACATACCAGTTGTTTACTAACGAGAACAGTTGTTCAGGAAGTGTGAATACGATATATTTTCCTCAACAGCCCTTTGGTCGTGAATTTTGACCCTACCCCGGTAATACGGCTGGTTTGTTTTGGTCCATCGGTGACCGTATGAACAGGGTTCCACTGCACTTAATACTTTCAATTGAAAATGTCTTTTTTATCCATACAAATCAAGTAAACCTGAACAAATGATAGGCATTCCAATTTTTCGTACTTTCCATCGAAGAAAAAACTTTAATACTTGATTCTGGAACAAATGTTTCCATTTCCGTTGACTCTTGAGTTACACGTTTTGTTTTTCTTGTATCCATATACATAACTTTTCTAAATTAACTTCTGATCTTTACACTCAAGAAAAAAAACTTATAAAAAATAAATACTCTTAATGCAGACTTAATTGTATGTTCAAGTACACTAATAACCAAAAGAATTTAAATTATTCTCAATACTCTGCAAAATTCAACATCTGGAACAGAAATAATAGGATGCACTTATGAAGTACTCCGTAATGTAAATATTTATAATCTGGAAAAAAACTTAACTTAAATTTCGTGACATTCATCAAATACAGCTACTTCAGTAATGTTCTCATTCCAAAACACTACCCTACTTTGAAAATTTGAAAATGTATTTGCGAAAGCAACCAAATCCACGGTTACAACGCGAGACAACCTAATCCATTTCGTTCACAATTTCAGTAGGTTTCTAAAGAAACTGTGGTGATACGTCGGTGGGAGAGTATAACAGGGTAATTAAGTATTATCAACTTGGTTGATAACGCAGATTAGCCACCGTAAAGAGTTTCAAAGGTGACATTTCAAGCGTTAGCCCTACGTTTTTTGCTCTGACGAAGGGCTAACGCTCGAAACGTCAGCTTTGGAACTCCTTACTTTGGCCAATTTACGTTAGTAACAGTTAATAATATTAAATTACCTCGTCTACCTTTATGTCCAACAAATACTCTGCAGTTTTCTGTTTATTCAAGGACCGGATTTTTTCAATTCTCTCACCCCAGAGATCACTGGCTCTTCATCTCTCACATCCTTCAGCAAAAAGAAAAAAAAACCTGAATGGTTTCATCAGGCTAAGATGTGAAAAAAGACTCTTTTTTCAAGATTTGTTTATTTCTTTCATTTTTATTTCTTTAGTTTTATTTTATTTTATTTCTTTAGTTCACTTTCATGTCCTCAACAAAGGTCAGCATCAGGACAGCACCATTAAAATGCTTTGAACAATGCCAGTGAAAGGCCACATTGGATAGGACTGTGCAATACTCGCCAAGGGCAAACAGAGTATATACTGTGAGTGGGAAATAATGTTAAGACAAACAATGATAAAAAAGGATTTTTTCCTGTCTACTTGATGGAGTACTCAAAATTATTGGTAACACATATCCCATATTGCAGTAAGTCACAAATCCCCTTTCCTTTTAAGGACTGTTGATTTTTAATGCAGAGGTTTGGTAGATTTGGAGGGGAAGTTTTGAAGGAGAGGGGGTGGTGGGTGGTAGGGCAATCCCATCTATGAAACATCTATGACCAGAAGATCCAAAACTTACATTTCTTGCTTTTGATCCCCATTAGAATGAGTTTCCATCAGCTACAAGTATACATAGAAAGTTTGTTTAGTGCAGTTTGAGGGTGGGTGGGAATCACTATTAGAACCATTGTTTAGTCGACAGTGGGCTTCAGAAATCCCACCAGTCTCCTGCTCCTCCCTACTTCCCAAATTGTGAAATAACAACTACCCCCTACATTTCAAAGATGTGGCCGTGAGGTTTCTGCATTCCTACGTTGATGCTAACTTTCAAGGATACCACCAGGTTCACAGTACCAATTGTGTCTGAAGAAAAAGTAAACTGCCATACTGAATGAAAAGTAGTTGAAGATCATGGCAAACACCTTTTTTCTGAATAGGGAGGAATCCTGAAAAATTAGACAATGGGGTTAAGTGTGTGGTACAAATTGTCATTACTGCACTCTACCGATGACTGAAATTGCTTTAATTAAACAATAACTTTTACAGTTTGATTAAATGGAGGGTAAACAAATGAAACACAGTAAGAAAAACCTTACAACTTACAAGATTTGGACCCATTCCCTAACAGTTTGGTGGTTTCCACAGTATAGTGTACAGTGTACATACCTCTTTGCTCATTGGTTTGCTTGCTGTCAATCCAGATAGAATGCATGATAGAAACATGTAACTCATGGAGCACACCATAAATACAATAAAGGAAGCTTCGTGCATAGCTGAAACATACACATTTTAGATGGGAATATTATTTCTAATGTTATCATTGACTGAAATTTAATAATCCTACAAAGGTGAAGTCTTCATTCTCCTATTATCCTCAAAATAACTGTAAAATCTGTCAATAACACCTCACTTTCTAACCCAACAGACAAGTCATCTTCCTGCTGTGGTAAGCACATGTATGCAATGAAGTCCTAAGAGGAAACCCTTATAAATTTGTTAAGAAAGTCTACCATTTTTACAGCCTGTATCTCCATAATTAGCTCAAAATTAAGTGATCAGGGTTTGATTGTCCCACCCAAGAGTCTTTGTGCTAAAGAGCAACCTAGAATGGACTTCCATCTCATCCAGAAAGAAAAGTATATCATACTCCTTTTCTTTCATATCACAGAAACTGAGATAAGCTCTGCAGCAAAGCTGGCCAGTCTGCACAGTTATGAATGAGAAGGGGATAACAAAAAGGACAAAACTTTGCTAGCCAACAGTCCCTGAGTAAACACAGATAGGACCTGTTGTTTCTGTTTGGCGAGCTCTTGGTTCTAAGGCAAATACAGAAAACAATAACATAAATCTCAAAATTTGAAAGTGTCACACATGTATAGCTTTAGATGCCAGTGGCAACTCTTTTCTTAAGAAAATTTAGATGAAAGCAAGAAGGATGCTGTTTGCAATCTTTCTAAGAATTTTGCGAAAGAAATGTGTGAGCCTACTTTGCAAATGATTGGCAGTTAAATGGTGATGTAAAACCAAACCTAATGCAATACTAATTTACAATGGTTAATCAGAACAAACAAAAGTATCACAAAGGCTGAAGAGGACTCAAAGTAAAATCATTAAACTGCCTTTAAAGCATAGTGTTAACTCATTGACTGGCTGCTAGTCCCAAGATAATGTGCTGAAAGTGTCCTGGGCCAATAACTGAGTGACAAGCACAGCAACCAAGGCAATCCAATACCACTCTTCAAACTCAATTGATATTTTAAAGGCTCACCATGATTTTCGACTGATGAAATGTAGGTCATCGAGAGGAGGGCTCCATTTTCTATTATTTCCAAAATGTAGTTTAGAAAATTGAGCGGCTTAAACCACCAAGTTGTCAAGTGATAAATCCTGCCTGATTGTGTATTTGTGTAGTGTTTATGGATTGCAGATGGTAAAAGTAGGATTCGAGGAAAGCAATGCAGAGCTATTGCAACTCTCCAAATAAACATCTCTGGCATGTTTCCCCCAATTGCTGCACTTATTGAAGGCAAGTAGTTTGGTACCTTAAATTTAAAGAAGGATAACAAATCAGATGTTTACCTCATCAGGAGAATGGGAAATACTAGGAACCATTTTGAAAAGCACACATGATATGCTGTTAAGATAATAAAAGACAGTTGCAACTACATGTAACTTGTTGTTATAATAATTATTTTGTCAGATGTTTGTATAGTTAAGACCAGGTAGCACTTGGTTTCACAGTTTTCTAGAAAACCAGGATTGGAAAATGAGGACAAGGGATTCTTGATCCCCAATCCCTAAATGGCTGATCCTGATTTTCCAGGAAACCAAGTTTCACCACATAGAACAGTTTTGCCCTTTAACTCCCTTGAGTGACCAAGACAGAATTTCTCCTTACAGTATTAATACAATATCAACCAAATAAGTGATGAGAATAAAGAAAAATATCAGTTTGGGGATAATTAGCTGATCCAACTCTAAATTCTCTAAACTAGCATTATAAGAATTGCATGGTTGACAGTAAGGAGAATTATAAATTTGATCAGGGAGTTAAAGGGTTAATAATTATTGGTTAGTAAAAGGTTTAACTTATCAGAAGTAGGAAAAGGTAAAGCGAGGCAAAAGGTTTCTATTACATATGTCCTAACCACATAACAAAACACCAAGCAATTTTTGGAAAAAAGACAGCCTTTATTATTGCAGGAAAATAGCAAGAAAAACAGCTTCTTAGAATGCAAGTGCAGTTTACAGTATTTATTCGGTTATAAGACACACTTGGTTATAAGACGCACCCTTAACTTTTAAACATAATTCCATCAAGTTTACAAACTAAAAATTACTCCTAAATACTCGTGGCCTATGTAGGGTAGCTTAAAGTAGAACGTAGGTAAAGTGGTAGGAAGGGAACCTGGGCTACTGGCTTTCAGCTTAAGATAAAAGAGGCTATTCATATTCAAAGAGAACAACCATCCTTGAATCAACAATTACACCATGTAAATCTCAAATTATCTTTTTAATTCTCACACTTTCATGCTTTACCTCTTTTCTTGTTGTCACTATTCATCTTAATTAGCATTGTTCTACTTGCTATATAATTCAACTTTCAACGCTTTGTATGGTAATTAACTGAAGATGACAGAAGTTTCTGTCGAAACATGTTTTACAGACTCAAAAGTTTTGTCGCTTTCTTTAAATTCTGTTTTAACATTTATAAACAACACTCAGCTGATGAAACTTTCATCAGTTTCAAAACTACAATCTCATTCTCAAAGCAATTGTTCAGCATACCGTAAATCAGAGACCATCATGCCAAGTACTCGTCATCATTCCTACAATCTAAACTTCAAGTTGAATATTGTAGCAGAGGCAGAAGCCCTGAACAACAATTGTGAAATTGCTTGCAAATATGGCATATTGTAATTGATGGTCTGTAAATGGAGAAACTAGCAATACGTCTTGTTTACAGACAAGTTAAAGATGACAGTGAAATGTGACTCGATGGGTCACTACCGGCCAAAAGATCCAAAGCTTGATCAGCAGTTCAAGGCGCACTGGTTCAGCAATCAAAGAAGCCAAGGTGAATATTGTTCATTCAACATCTATGCATTGTCATTGATAACTGCACTGTTTTAGTGTAAATTCTTGTTAAAATGTTGATTATGTTGTCCACTTGCTGACTGCATATTTCCTTTGATATTTGCAGGTCTATCAGTACACATCTTAAGGCTCTGCCTGAAAGCAGAGGAACTCAGCTCCGATCCAGAGTTAAAAGCGTCCCTTGGCTGGTACACAAACTGGAAATGTCACCATGCCATTTCCTTGAGAGCAAAGACCACTTTGGCACAGCATCTACCAGCTGATATGGAAGAGAAGGTGATTGAATTCCATTGCTTAAATCGTGCTGAGATCCTGACAGCATTGTGGCTACAAGTCCAGCCATGTCCTTAACATGGACAAAACTCTGGTGAGGTTCGAGTTGCCAGCCACAAGGGCATTGGAGTTCACTGGAAACCAAACAGTGCCGATTTTAGCAGGTAATTTATATTAACAGCTGAGTTGAAAACATAAATTAGCCACTGTAAAGTGTAAAAAAGCTGACATTTGAGCGTTTGCCCTTCATCAGAGCGATTTGGAGGAGCTGATTTTATCCTGTGGTGGCGATAAGCAGAGTTTCACTGTTTTCCTAGCAGCGAAGGCGAGTGACGAGAAACTTCCACCAAAGGCATTCGTCAGCTTTGAATCCAGGTGCTGCTGAGAATGCAGGTCTCCAAATTTTATATTCTTTGGTGCAAACATACTTGGCTATAAGATGCACCCCGAGTTTAGACCGGATTTCAATTGAACAGGCACATTTTCTTTGAAAAATGTTGCGCCTTATAACCAAAAAAATAATGTATATGCACTAGCAAGTTGAACAGTAGAGCAACTGATATTAACTTATTACCAAGTGATAAATAAAGTACCTAAAAACTAACTATGATATCACTGTACTTTAATACCAACAATATGGAACTTAACTAGCAGGACAAGTCTGCTGATGTTAAAATTACTTGTACTAGGTAGGCTAGGTTGATCACAATTATGATGCAAGACTGTCTCTGTACCAATTTTCTATGCTTGTAATTTAGAAGCACATCACTCAGTAATGGGTGATGTTTCCCAATTCGTTAACAACTATTAAATGACCTTTATTAAGAATAAATTCTTTTCTACAAAGAAACAACTCAGAGCTGTAAGCAAGAAAGGTATTATTGATAAACTCTGGGACTTTTGCTTCAATTTCTAGATTGGAAAATGCTTGTTATAACTTTTTTTCACACAACTTAAAATCAACCACTTCAGTGGATAACATATTGAGTTAAGCAAATTAGACAACACTTTACAACAGTTTACCAGCATCATATACTGACCAATTTGAAACTTCAACTTTGACCAGCCAAACAGGTTGTTAAAATTACTCTGTATCTGGCAGTTGAAAATATTCACTAACTTCAATTCACACCATCAGATATGTTTTTAGATAGTTGGACTGTGCTGTCACAATTTCCACCAAAGGTTGTTTTAGATAAGCTCAACGCTCTGTGTTGCTGGGCAATTAGGGTTAGACAAAAAACAACAACAGCTTTGCCTAGTGTGATATAATTCAAACCTAATTGCACAAAACTTTTGACCATTGGACAGGGAGTATTTAAGGATTCTGTGTTCAGAAGCTCATAACAAGCCTCTAAGTCATAGATTTCGTTTTAACCCTTTTACTCCCATGAGTGACCAAGACAGAATTTCTCCTTACAACATCAGTACATTATCAAGCAGATAAGTGAGGAGAATAACGATTAAAAATATCAATTAGGGGATTATTAGTTGATTCAAACCCAAATTCTTCCTAAAAACATGACAAAGAATTGTAGAGGAGATGGTAAGTAGAATTATCTATGAGACCTTGGGAGTGAGAGGGTAACGTGTCCAGCTATCTAAATGAACTCTGGGCGCCGAGCTTAGGTAAAACTCGCAGTTCGGTGGATATCGTGACGTGTCCAGCCATCTAAGAACGTACCTGATAGTGTGAATGAATACAAAAAATATTTACGACTGCCGAACACGAAGTAATTTCTAGAACCCGTCCGATTGCAGGACACGGAGTAATTTCAAGAACCTGTCCGGGTGCCGGACATCTGCACACAACGTGATTTTATATGCGCGCCTAATACATGGGTACAAGGCACTCTCACCTGGCAATGAGTCTTTGTAGTATCATCGAAATGCCAAACCAGAGCGATCAACACGCAAGATACAAACGAGAAAAGTGGCAAAGTACAAAGGAATAAAGAAATACGTTGTAGGGGTATGGATGTTATAGGTGCTTGGACTGTAATTACGCTCGAAAATGATGCCGCCATCTTGAATTACTCGACCGAGGAAATCTGAGGCGAGCAAACTGACCACGTGTTCTTATGAAAACAAAATGGCGGCACAAACAAACGAGCATTCTCATGAGGTAGGTTAGAATTAGAAAAGTAACTTTTAATTTTTTTCAAGTTTATTAGATCTTATGCCAACCAAAATATGTAGAAATGGCCATATAATCTTATGATGCATGTGGTTAGTCAAAATCAGGGGCTTAAATACCTCCCCAAGGCAACTTCGGAGAGAGATAAAATTGCGGCGACTTTTGAATCTTTTGGTTAGTCAAAATCAGGGGCTTAAATACCTCCCCAAAGCAACTTCGGAGAGAGATCAAATTGCGGCGACTTTTGAATTTTTTAGAGGATTTCACATTTATGCCCAAGCACTTAATATGCCTCGTGAAAAATTTCCACGTCGAAGAATGCTATGGAACAGAGCATTTTAAATGACCATTTGGAAACACTAAAAAATATTGGGTTGATAGTATATCATCGGCTGGCTGGTGCACAGTCGCCCACACTCGAGCTGTAAGATGATCATCTTGCGGAATAAGAGTCATGCCGAAACTAAAAGACTTTGTCTGGGAATATTTACGACCGCTCTTAGGAATAGAAAATTACAGTCAAATTCTCAATAAAAATGCGTCGCTTGTTATCTGACTGCTTACTATGTCGAAAAGTACCCACTTTAGCAAGTTATCCATCTCAAGATTAACTACATAATAGAAAACCAAAGCTGTACACTCCATTTCCGAATGCCCGATCCGAGAAGCAAAATATCCAAGCTCAAAATGACCAGGCAGCCACAAATCCATCACAGAATCCAAGCGCATATGCTACAGTTTCATTTCAATTCACTAAAAACTCAATCTTCCCCGTAAAACCGATGCTAGGCCACTTTCGCCACCACTCACGACGGTTGGAAGTCAATTTGGTAACCTTGCCTCCTTTGCAGACTGTGCCTCGACTGGGACCACACTGTCACTAGTATCCATAGATTGTTTTAGAACCACAGTTGCTAAGTGATGATGTGGTCTGCAGCACGGCAAAAAGTTGCTAATTTGCATGCACAAGAAATGACATTGACAAGGAAAATAACATAGACTGTTTCCCAAGGAACAGTCATCAAGTGACTTGTTATACAGCACAAGGAAGAAAAAAGGATACTTTATGAAAACAAACCAAAAATTTATTGATTAATTATATTTCAGAACATGAAGGAATTGTGGGTTGTGTGAGTTTACATACAGAAAATAGAGCTATGCTATTGGTGGGAACATGGTCACAAGAAAAAGAAGAATAAATTAGTTGAGTAGTATTTTCCTTCTCTGACATTTTTTGTGCTGACTGTCTATTTGTTGGGTGGGGTAGTGGCCTGCTTGAAGGACAGTAACAAGGTAGCCATTTATTTTAGAAAAAGAAACACTCTTAATCCCTACAGTTTCAACAAATCCTTTTCATGCAAATAATTTTTTCCTATTTTTCTTGTGGCTATGTTCCCACCAACAGTATAGCTCTATTTTCCACATATAAACACACACAAAACCCATAATTCCTGCATTTGCTCTGATGAAGGGCTAATGCTTGAAATATCAGCTTTGAACTCTTAATGGTGGCCAATTTTCATTATCAACTCAGTCAACAAAACTAAAATTATCTCAATATTAGAGAGGTCTACTTCAATGAAGGAGTCAGTGGAACAACGGTTGCATGCTGTTGGATCATGGGAAGATTATCAGTTCATCAGTTGACCATCCATTTTGCCATTGACCATTATTCTGATCAGGGCTGCTGTATTGCTTGTTACATATCACATTTTTGTGAATTGAACAAATCATATATTCTAAAGCAACAAACACTGTCAATCATGAAAAAAAAAAACTGAAATTGTGATATTACAAAGTTTGCTTAATATTTGAGCTATTTGCCTGAGGTAATATTGATAACAATTTTAATACAAAGAAGCCACAATACAAAAGTTTTATCCATTGGGGGCCTGTAGAAAATTGATATTAAACAAAATAAATGATCAAGGTGACCCAATAAATCTAGTTGACCCTTGAGCACTTGTTTCATAAGATCACAGGTGATCCTTTCTTTTCCTAATATATTATTTATCAAGGGAAAAGATGGAGAAGATGATGTTCCAGATGATATCAGTTTTGATAACCAAGTGTTTGATTTGAGCTTTCATCCAAATCGAGATGTTATTGCTGCTGGAGAAATTGATGGAAGGGTGACAGTGTAAGTATGATAAGCTTCTCTTTTATGACTGTTCCTATGTGCATCTCTTTGGGAACAGATTTTACAATAGGTGATCTGGAGTGAAAATCTGAGCCTATATGATGTTAATTAGAAGTTATTTAAAATGGAAATGATAGACTAAATTTTGTTATAATTTTTGGTAACTATGTTTATGGGAATGTAGAAGAAACCAATTATTTTCTACATATCCGGTAGTGCAAAACTGGAGACTGATTTTCTTGTTGTATCAAAAAATGAGAAGCATCAAGATTTTTAGGAAAAAATTGGAAACATTGTTATGATATTTTTGTTACTTATTTATCTGTTTTTATTTATTTATCTACCTTTGTGATATCACATGAAGAAAATATGTGGTTGGTTCATTCAAAATCTCAATTATCTATTCTAATTTGCCATTAACCACTTTGACTAAAAAATCTTATCGAAGTACTTGCATTGTGTCTGCAATGTGATGTGCTGTTTTAACCCCTCCAAAATTTCAACTACCTCACTGAGTGTAAGCAGTGTTAGTATTGTATAGTATGTGGAGTAGGCTCATTAGAAAAAATCTAATGATAAGTATGCAAAGCTGGCTAATTATAAAAGTATTAAAAGTGGTTTTAGTATTATAAGGTTTATAGAATGAGCTGATGGATAAAAATCCTATGGTGAGTTGTCTTTAATGTGAGTATTTGTAGTGTAAATTGTAATAAGTAACATGAGCATTCTAAGTATTGCAATTACTCTAAGTGTTATTTGTAGTGTTAGTACTGTAGCTGATTAAATACTATAAATAGAGAATATTATATGGTGGCAAGAAGATATGAATTTTATGTTCAAGTAGCAAGAACAATATCTCATCAATGAGTTCAACAAAAGAGTGATATTGTTTGTAAAAAGAGCATAAAATTCATATCTATGAGCTAGCAGGCAATATTCTTTTTAAATATATGGACAATTAAATATGCAATCACCTACTTTATACTCAATTTCAACTTTCTGTGCTGTTTGGGATAAAGTGACATGTTTTCAACCAATAAGCTGTTGAAATTTTGTTAGGCAAATTATTATTTGTGAAGTTAATGGGTTTAGATAGTATTTATCTAAACTTCCTTTTTTTTGCTTCAATTCTTCAGCCATTCATACTCAGTTTCTGAAGAGAATCATTTACTCTTGGAGCTTCACCATCATAAGAAAGCTTGTAGAGCACTGACCTTCTCTCTTGATGGCTTGTGTGAGGAGTAATGTTCTTTCATATATATACATTTTTTTAAGGTTATTCATTGTACATGATAACTTAATTGAAAACAAAATAAAACAAAACAAGAGGGTTATCATTTGTCTAATAATGTTGTGGCATTCTTTGTGGACCATTACATTTCAACTGCTTAGTGCTAAGGGAACCTCGTCACCTCTAGAGGACTAGCAGTAAGCAGTCTAAATGTTGCAATTCAGAAGTGGCTACAGTTGTTAACGGTCTATTGATTCTTAACTTATTTTAAACTCAGTTTACAAAAGGGAAATGGTAGTTACACTGCAACAAGCTAATTTTTTTCTTTTTTTTTTCTTCTGAAGTAGAGTGTGTGTATTATGTTTCTTAATTTATCAGGTATCTCACAGGTCAAATTAAGTAAACATTTCATGTTTTGTGTTGTATTATTGCTTTTAGAGATTGTAGTGAATTGCTGTTGTTTTTTCCTTGTGCTGTATGTAGATCTCTATACAGGCTCCAAGGACAAATCACTTCAGGCTGTTGACATGAATTCAGGGGCAGTTGCTCATTCAATTGTAAAAGCACACAAGTAAGTACACTTAGTTATAGACATAACACAACAACAATGTGAGGATCAATGGTTTCTCGAAAACCATGTCTGAGATTTTATGATTGAGATTTACTAAATATGAGAGTGCAATTCCTTCTTCCTCTGACACAGGGATTACTTGTCTACTGTTGTGGTCCATATTTAACCCTGTCTACCTGGCTTCTCATGAAGGTTATCTATATCTTGGTTATCTGCATTGCTTTAGGGATTTTTCTCCAGTTTTCCTCCTTTTTCCAAAACCACCACTATTCCAATTTTACCTGAAATCAAGGCTTGAAGAGCTATTTGGTGGATCTCCCACAATATATTTGTACTTAAATTTGTTTTAAGATTTCACTTGGAACTTCATATTGGTTAGCTAGTTTAAGTGCTATCTTTAGTGCTTTTTATTTCTCTTATGACTTTTAGTTCCCCAGTTTATTGTATGAAGGTCATAACAGATAGCCTCCTAGCTACAGGTGATGATGATGGTTGTGTGAAGGTAAGATATTTCTTTACTAATTAAAAATTTCAAGAGTCAAACTGATAGAAAGCAGTTGAATGGATAAGGAGAACTTCTGTACTTTGTTTATTTTGCAATGATACTTTCACAGTGTTTTTATTTGTTAGGAATTTGACATTTATACTGTTATATTAAATCTTCTAAAACAGGGGCTGGGCTGTGTAGTGACTCTGGTGTGCATGCAAGATATAGAATAATTAATCATATTGTGCATCAGTTTATACTGGAAGGTTTCTAAGCTGACTCAGTGATTGAATAAAAACAAACTCATAAATTGACATTCAAAGAGTAGAGTTGTTATGCATGGTTTGAACTCATCAGTATTCAAGTAATCAAAAAAATAAAGGTCTTTTGTGTGTGTGGCTTTTGTATTTTGTAAATGCAACAAGAAGGTCTGGTGCATCTTACTTATCTTATTCTGTGATACTCATCCCAGAGGAAAAACAAAAAAGAAAAAAAATGAAATAACATAAATTGAAAGCTGGCTTAACCTTTCAGATGGTTTCAATGATTTTAACCACTCAAAGTTAACATAAATTTGATAAAGATGTATTATTTGCAGTTCTGGGACACAAGGCAAACTTCTTGTGTGATGACAGTGGCAGACAATCAAGACTTTATTTCTGACATGGATTGTGATGCAGAGAAACGAACTCTTTTAGCTGCAAGGTAGGATGAGGTCTTAGATAAAATTGTTTCATAGGTGGCTAAAAGCATGAAATGCGATTGAAACTTGTATGCAGGACTCTTCAACAGCTACTACGAAGTTCAACATTTGTCATGGTTAGAATAATCATTTTCAGCCTCAGCCTCAGCCTCACTCTCAAGGTGTAGAGTGGTAAATTTCAACGAGAGGGCATTCCCAGTGCACTGAGATGGGAAGAAAAAATTAACGTGAAAACAGCAAGAAAGTGACAGACGCTTGGGGATGGATTTTATGAAACTCAGTGGTTCATGCATTCGTCAACATTAATACCCCCATTTAACGCATAAGTGTATCTTATGTTCGTCTGTGAATCGACTTCGGGTGAGACGGATCTACTTAGCTAGTGACGAGTCGAGTCGAGTCGACCCGTGCGAATCGTGCTGATTCGTCAAAATTTAGTACCCTATTTAACGCTTAAGCGTGCATTGTGTTCTGTGAATCGACTAAAAGGGCTTTGCCAGTATCCTTCTTGATCTCTTGTTCGGTTGATAACGTGCAATGTTTAAATCAAAATGATCCCTGGCTTATTGGCTTGTTTCTTACCTTGTTTTTCCAAGTGGTGATGGGTCTTTATCCGTGTTTAACATTCGGCGTCAAAAGATTGAGCAGCAGTCAGACAACATGGAAAGTGAACTTCTGTCTGTTGCGGTTGTCAAGGTAACATTATGTAATCACTCGTGATAGACACATTTGTAACGCTGGTATACCACTTTTAATTGGAGACTTGGTTGCTATTTCTTGCTATCAGGATTCTCACAACATTGTGAGTTTACCAAAAACTACCTTTCATTATAATCTGTTATATATTTGGATCACGGGCAATGGGTCCAAACGTGCATGCCTTTGTCAATGCAGGTAGTATACGAATGATATCGGTCAGCTGATATCTCGGAGCTTATTGGTCTCCTTGCCAACCGTTGTTTAGTCTCGTTGTTTAGCCTCGTTGTTTAGCCTCGTTGTTTAGCCTCGTTGTTTAGCCTCGTTGTTTAGCCTCGTTGTTTAGCCTCGTTGTTTAGCCTCGTTGTTTAGCCTCGTTGTTTAGCCTCGTTGTTTAGCCTCGTTGTTTAGCCTCGTTGTTTAGCCTCGTTGTTGAGCCTCGTTGTTTAGTCTCGTTGTTTAGTCTCGTTGTTTAAGGTTGTTTAGTCTCGGAGACTCGTTGTTGAGCCTCGGAGCCTCGTTCTTGAGCCTCGTTGTTGACCTCGGAATTTTTGTTTAGTCCGTTCGAATCTCAATATTTTTTCCGTTCTTCTCAATATTTTTCCCGAAAAACTTTATCTTTGACGAACTCAGTAGTCTACCTTTGGCACGAAAATATGCATCGCAGAGCTCGCAGTTCTGTTAATGGTTATATCTCATGTATATTTTTTTACAGAGTGGGCGAAAGGTGGTTTGCGGCACTGGTGATGGCATTCTGAACCTGTTCACCTGGGGTGAGTGGGGAGACATAACTGACCGTTTTCCGGGTCATCCATTATCCATTGACTCGTGTGTGGCTGTTAGTGATAATATCGTCTGTACAGGCTCAATGGACGGAATAATAAGGTGGGTGGCAATCCCTTATTTTGTGTGATTGAAATGTGTTACTGTTTGCGTTTATGTGACCCAACTAGGAGATTCCACTGTCCAAAATTTAGTAGTTGAATGATCGGAACTGAGTTGGTGGCTTAATTAAATTATGCTTCCCTAGCAAACATGGCGTGTTGCAAAGCAACACGCCCTTTTAGGGGGTTCCCCGGAAAAAACTTGAAATTTAATACTCTCTGAGACTTGATTTCTAGCATTCACGGAAATATTAGAGTAACTTCTTTTAGCCAAACGTTGACGTTAGGATCAGTCCAAAAATACTGTTCAGTCTTAAATCGCACTTCAAAAATAGGTGGTGTAAAATGGTCTGAAAGCCAACGGTTTCCCGTCGCCTGCAGACTTCCAGTAACAACCAAGAAGTCAGATCGGAACGTTTGTCTAGTGCACTCTTCGATTGACTTTCAGATAAAGTCAGTTAAATTAAACATAGTCTCAGTCGGATATCCAAACAAAGATGAAAGGCGTAAGATGTCATTTATAACTCAGAGTAAAACTGTTCTAACTAGACTGATTGATACGGCGTTTATTAGATTTTTCTCGACTCAAACGCAGTGCTTATTCTGGGGTGGCGCCTTCATGTATGTAGGTGTTGTGTTTCAATCATTCAATTCATTTGAAAAAAATAAAAAAGGAAGACACCCACATAAAAACCGAAACACGGTAAAGTGCCATTTTTTGTTTCGTTTTGTTGGGAAAAATGGGCTCGCGCTTTGTACGGTTTTGTTGTATGTTTACACATTTTGAATATCACTGCCCCATTTGTGATCTGAATATAGGAGCGACATGAAGGAGAAGAGATGTCTTGCCTCTTCGAACTGAAAAACATTTATAAACAGGAAAAGAAATTCGTACACGGAACTGATTTAGACTTCATAGCCGAACCATACCCGGATTTCTAGATTTTTTTTTTGCACTTAGATGCGGCGGTTCTCTTCTAATGAATGAAAATAAAAGAATCGACAATCTCTGAATAGAAATCGTAGAGTGCGTTGGCGCTAAGGCTTAAGATGAAAAAAACATTACAAAAACAATAATGGGCGTAATTTTCATTGTTCAAAATTCTCAGTTATTGACTTAGTCCTTGCCGACAGAAGAAATCTTTCAGGTGCACGGCCAAAATCAGCTTGTGTCAAATCTTCTAGTTGTCGAATTTCGTTCCCAGCCGCGAGAAATACCATTACCAATGAATGCGTAATTTTCGGCTTTTCTCTCCGTAATTTTTTTACCCTTCTAAGAAAGTTTGAACGCCACTTTCTGTAAGGGATACGAATTTTTCAATGTTTCAGTCGCCATAATTCGAAAAAATTCCGTCAAACGACCTTCGATTGAGCATGGTGAAGGCTCTGCCGTTCATTCATCAACATCGCTGAGTAGCGCGAAAGGCGATCGACGTGTCAGCAGCTGATTTGCGATATCAAACACAAGTAAAAACATACGATATTTTTTCACGTGTGTTGTTACGGCTTTTCTCAGGGCTGGAAATCCTTATAATTAAACCGTAAATTATATGACAAAGAGAATTATTCTGATTATGAAGTGATATGTAAACGTACTCTGGTATTTAATGCTAAGTTTTCCTCCTTACGACCATCAGAGCTGTGCATATTTTACCCAATCGTTTCGTTGGTACTGTTGGAGAACACAAGGATTTTCCCGTGGAAAGAATGCGCATGTCAAGTGATGGAAACACTCTGGCGAGTTGTTCTCATGATCAGAGCATCAAGTTTTGGGATGTAAGTCATCTTAAGACACTGCGTGTAGATCCTAGTGGTAAAAAAAAGAGGGAAACTCCGACGAAAAAAGCGACAGATGACTTTTTTGCTGATCTATAGCGTCGCTTGGTAAAGGACCTATATGTACTTTACGGTCTTAAGTCATTTTAGTGCCCTGCAAAACTACGTCTCTTTAAGGAATACCACAAGAAACTGGTCTTGCAGTAAAGAAAAACACAGAAGAGGCATTGATCGACAAAGAAAGAACAAGGATGGCCAAGAAAGGAAAATATTAAAAAAGACTGAAAATGAGTTCTTCGAACAATTTCGGTTTGATTTCTGAAGCGGTCAGCCAAACCAAAGTGGTTAATAACGCACAAACGTCAAGCACACCATTGCGTGCGGCGACAGCAACGAGAACTCACCGAAACAAATCACTGGAGTAAGACTGTTACCGTTTATCACGGTTTTCTTTTTTTGTAAAGGTGTAACGCAAGTTGACCTATGTTGGAGTGAGAGAAAGTGCAAAATTTAACAAATTTAGGTCATGTAAGTGTTTTCCAATTGCAAATAAACGCACCAGATACCAATAGGGCAACAGAATTAGAAAAGGCGCGATGAAATCAGGAAGATATTCGATTTTGAGGCCCCTGAGTATAAAGATTTTACGATTAGTCAAGAAATAAAAAAAAGAAAAACAAGAAATAGTAGTTAGGAGAGAATTGCTGGTGACAACCTTTACTTTTAGCGTTCAAACATCCCAAATCTATGAAAGTTTTTAAGAGCTAATGTCAGCATGCATCAAACAAACAGCGGCAAGTCATCCAAATTTTTTTTTCACTCCTACTTTCATATTTTGTAGCCCAATATGTTCTTATAATTGTGGTGTAGTTTTTTTGTGAAAATATATTTTCAGTTTTCGAGAAATGACTTTTTTCGTTCGACCGCTCACATATGCAAATTTTCACCGTGGATATTACCCAAGTTGTGTGACCTCGTGTAACGAATGTACTAGACCTACGGTATTTCTGTGAACAAAATCTTTTGTTTTATCATCTAAACTTACTCCCCTGTCGTTATTGAAGCTGGCAAAGAAATATCTATTTTTTGGTGAATATTTTTGTCCGACATACTAATCTTTTCCTATGTCGAAAAGTAGCATCAAAACAAAGACAGTTTTAACAATGATCGATATGACAAAATCTACTGAGCTTCAAGCTTTTTTAAGACCAAAGGATGGTTATAAAGTCACTATAAAAATTTCTTTGTGTATTTGTGTTGTTCCATCTAGAGACTAACTCAAAGTCCGGAAAAATTTACTTGATAGCGACTATGAAATATACATGGTGCGCCTACTTGTCGCACCGTTAACTGGCATAAACCACTAAAATTTGCAAAAAAATCTAACCTAACACTCTTACCTTGTTTATTTATGATTTTATTAGCTGTTTCGATGATCATGTTAATTATGCTCTACCACATTCTAGCCAGATTTGAGTTGCAATTTATATATCTTCTCTATCTTATTAAATCAGTTGTATGACAAGCGTGACACAGAAATTCAAAGATAAATCAACCTCCGAAATACCAAGAGATGGGTTTTTCTTTCTACTTTGCATGACATCTAGAAAAACCTTTCAGGAATTACTGCATTCAGAAAACTAAAATGTCCAGATCCATCGATGATTCCTTTGCCAGCTAAAGTCAAAGTATGGTTATGATAGTCAATTTGATTGACAAGCTACATACTGATTTAGCTAACTGATCTGTTTTATAAGCGTCTCATCTTACATGCTGACATGGAGATTTCCTGTTTAGTTAAATCGTTTGCTGGTGGGACTTGTGGGTTTAGTTATCGAGAAGACCAAGTCGTTCCCTTGCGTGATTGTTAAAAAGACATTTCAAGTCACTTGCGAAGTTGCAAGTTTTCAGATCCAGAAAATGAAGTTGATCTTGTTTTGTCGCGTGCCAGCATCTTCATGAACAAATTGCCCCTCTCACAGATCAAATCTCGGTGTTGGGTGGAATCGTGGTTCCAATAGCAGATCTAGGGTGCCAAATGAAATGTCCGGCCATGGTAAAGGTAGGGTTAAGTCGATTCCAAAAGCTGATAGGGGAATTGGCAAGCGTGTATTATAGATAGTACTCAAGATGTCTGGAAAATTCATATCTGGCTTCGGTAAGTAGGCCACTTTCCACCGTGAGCAAAATTATGCGTGACGTCAGACTAAGTTTCGATTGAGAATTGGTCAAAAGGCTACCAAAAATTCAGACAGAGGCGGAGTTTTCTGAACTAATGTCTGAACACTTTATTGGCTTTCCGCCGTCTGGGGGGACGCGTAATTGTGTACACGGTGGTAAAGGGCCCTTCCGCACTAGCAACTAGACGCTGACAAAACTTGTTTCTCTTCGCTAAAAATCACATCAGAATTTGCCCTTGCTAAATGTCAAGTGCAGCATCAGCACCCCCGGGGGACCCCTTTACATAAGAGGGCGGGGGTGCGCGCCTAGAATTTCGAAAACGACCGCTATAAAATTATTAGCCTGTGTTTATGTCCTTTTCTGTCTTTTTCAATGCTTCCCTCGCTCCCACTGAGGATTCATACCAATATGAGAGCCGTACCGCGTTTACATTGTACAGGTAGAAAGGATCGTCCAGAATGAGTGTTTCGTTCTATAAAGAAAACCCCAATAAACTCACTCAGAAATGACTCATTTCGAATAAATTTTACGCTGGTTATTATGTAGCAACCGGTATGAACTCGTTCTTGTACAAAACTCATTTGGATATCATGTAAAAGGCCCATAAAAGTTTTTATTCCCAGAGAATCACGCATCTCGCCTGTCTGAATACTAAAAATTTCAGTAGCGTTGAAGCAAAAACCCGCTTTTAATTGCTTCGCTGCCGCTGAAACATCAATTTCAATTCAACGTAAACAAAAATCTTTGTACATGGTAAATATTCACTTGTGTCGGTATCAATTATTGCGTGACTAGCTTATGATACAAATGAGGGAGGGGAAAACACAACGCAAAACCTGGGCTCCTGTCAAAAAGTAATACCCGGGCGTAATATAATAATCGGAACGGATAATAAAATCATAAATAACCAAGGTAAGAGTGTCATGTTAGACTTTTTTACAAATTGTAGTGATTTATGCCAATTCACGGTGGCGACAAGTAGGCGCACCATGTATATTTCATAGTCGCTATCAAGTAAATTTTGCCGGACTTTGAATTCGTCTCAAGATGGAACAACACACTACACAAAGAAATTTTTACAGTAACTTTATAACCATCCTTTGGTCTTTAAAAAGCTTGAAGCTCAGTAGATTTTATCATATCGGTCATTGTTAAAACTGTCTTTGTTTTGATGCTACTTTTCGACATAGGAAAAGTATGTCGGACAAAAATATTCACCAAAAAATAAATATTTCTTTACCAGCTTAAATAACGACAGGGGAGTAAGTTTAGATGATAAAACAAAGGATTATGTTCACAGAAATACCGTAGGTGTAGTACAGTCGTTACATGAGGTCACACAACTCGGGTAATAGTCACGGTGAAAATTTGCATATGTGAGCGGTCGAACGAAAAAAGTCATTTCTCGAAAACTAAAATATATTTTCACAAAAAAACTACACCACAATTATTAGAACATATTGGGCTACAAAACATGAAAGTAGGAGAGAAAAAGAATTTTGGGCGACTTGCCACAATATTTTAAATTTGTTCGATGGATGCTGACATCCTCTCTTAAAATTTCCAAAGTTTTCTTTCTTAAATTTCATTGTCCTCAAAATATCTAATCCTAAGTATTGAGTCACGGGCTTTCCATTTGTACTACATCACATAATCTATTATTTTTTTACGATGGATAACATCTAATAACACTGTTATGCATGGGACGCACTGAAGGAGAAAAGATTTTGGATTTTAGATGGTGGGGTTATATTAAAGATTATCAGGGAAAAGTCATTGATTTCCCGGTTGTAATATCCAATTCTTGCAAATCAAATTAACCAGTAACACCCGACCTTATGCTGAAGTATTTTATTGTCTGAAAGCTAATCAATTTCAAAAGAGGTACTACTTTCAAAAACGATCTGAATGTCGACGAAATGGGGAAATGTTCTGCAATTAATTTGGGGATCTCGTGTGCCGAAAGGCGAATTTTAGTACCAGAAAGCGAAGCATCTCATCAAATGACGTTTAGTTATAACAATCGCCGACAAATTCATCTTTACAGTGGATCTTTTCGCAACCATCACCTTCGTGATTGCTATGTTTTTTTCAACCTTTTCAATTTCCCTCTAGTACGTTTAAACAAGTTCCCTCAACACTCTCCAACCATCAAATATACTGGGTTTGATGCTTGTTGCTTCTGATCTTAAGCTTCTTCCAGCAAGAGCAATTACTCGTACCTTTTCAACATATCATGACTAACAACACTCGAAGAACTTTTAGATTGTTTGAATTCTGTTTAATTCTGTTACATAAATCACAACTTGTTAGGTCCTATTTTTTCCCCTCGAACCAGCAACGAGAGGGATCATAACTCGACAGCATTTTACAACTTTCTCGACAGCTAATAGCTGGATCAGTGCATAGTTCGTCAATAGTGTTTGTACCCATCATTAATTTGATCTGAACATCTTCATTAAAAGTACATTTGTGAAGACACGTTCCACACGCCGTTAAACATTTTTTCTGAGTGATGCTTTGGGTGCTGATAAATGGCAGAAGTGTACAAAGTAACAGCGCTAGGACTGTTAAATTTAGAGTCTGTGGCATCTGATGACAGACAAAATAAAGAATTAATAAGTCGATAAACTAAGGGAAAGCAAATAGAAAGAAAAAAACGTAAAAAAAGGAAGAAATGTAAATTAAATAGAGAAAGGGAGAAAATGGGATGAAATGGGGAAACGATGTCGAAAAAGGCAAAGAATGAGAAACAACAAAAAAAGGTCCAAAAAATATCAAGATGGAGTATTGAGATGGAATTCGCAAGTTTGAGTCAGCCCTAAGATCTCTTTCATAATCAACGGGTCATGTGAATTAGCCTCTTTCCTCGACAGCAAGTCTATAAAAAAGGCTCTAAAGTAAGGCCTGGAGGGCTG